ATATTCATATAAGTAGTTATATATCTATGAACATATACGTTTCGAGGTCACGCGCAATAGATGCGTCGTAGGCCTCCTACAGCATATAGTGTTTCTACTGTATATTTAGAACTACTGGAGGGATTTACTGGAATGATTATTTATAATATGTAAAACATAGTCACAGCTCGCTACAATATATTGGTTAAATAAATTCATACAAATCCGAGCCCCAGCAAAAGGAATCGTTCGTTGCTTACTCCCTATAAGTGACGTATAATATAATTGATAAATACAAAATATTATTCATCGGTATTGAGATATATTCATACTGCAATTAGCGTACATATTATGCACGTTTATAAGCGGACGATTTGATGGTCAGCTAAAAATTGTCGTTTAAACCAACATAATATGCGCTGGGAAACCTCTTACTCCTTGTCCATGGTCGAATGCCAAACAGTCAACTGGGAACATATTTTTTTTGTCTTCTACACTATACAATTAGCCTTGTTCCCGCGGTATTATTAAGCCTGCGTAGCTCATCGACCGACATCCGTACATCTATAATAAGCTAATATTATAATAATTAATGGGTCTGCGTTTGGGCGATAACCCACCTGAGCGGCATGGCAGCCGGTATTACATCAGCTGATAATTTCACTTGATTTATTGCGCGCGTTTGACTCTCGGGTACCGCCCGACTTTCAATTCGGAAAAACAGTACCACCGAGGGAACGGCTGTCGGCTGGTATATTACCGACGTATATCTTCAGCGGCCCAGTGTCGGTCCGACTTCAGTGTAGTGACGACTGCGGCGGCGGCGACTCGAATCCGACCGACTCGAATTCGGCCTACCCGCACGGCGTACCCACACTACCGAACAGCCGTCGAGTGTCTTACGCCCTGTGCACACCTGTAACCCGCCGGGAACGGGCGACGATGATGACGACGGCGAGCGCGGCCGCGGTCGCCGAAATGATCGAGGCCGGAGCTTTCGGACCGGACTGCCGGTTCGTGTCGTTCGCGCTGGACGGCCAGCACGCCGAACGCGATCAGTTCGCGTCGTCCGTACTGTACGGGACGGTTACTGTCGCAGATCGCGACTGCCATCGCCAAAGCCGTAGACTCGTGTTCAAGTTCAAACACCCGTTGCCAGAGATGCGGGCCTTCGTCAAGAACGACGAGCAGTTCCACAACGAAATACTGTTCTACGAACGGATCGCACCGTCGCTGTTGGCCTGTCGCTCGCAGGGGGACGGAGACGATCCCGCGACGCCATCGCTCTGTCGTTACTTCTACGGGCGCAACGACTGCGCTGACCTGGCCACACGGGACATGGTCGTCTTGGAAAACGAATCAGTTCGCGGATACCGGTCGGCGATAACTGAACATCGGTTGTGTTTGGACTTCGACCACCTCTCCGTGGCACTCAGAGCTCTAGCAAAGTGAGTGGGACGTATTCGCGTGTCGTATTCGGGTTGTGGTATTTAACGGATCGCAGACATTATTTTCTCGAATAGTTTCTGGGAGGTTTATTTTGATATTTAAGCCTTTATTTAGACCGAGAGTTATTGAGCAAAAATAATTTTGGGGTGCCAAATATAACCTGACACATGGCAGTGGCTTTTTGCATAATTCTGCATCTCTATAAATAAAATATTCAGCTACGTTCAAAATATCAAAATGAAAGTATAGATTTTCATTGACCTAAGCTAATAATAGAAATATTTTATTTTGAAAATTTTGATGTTTTATTCTGTGAGAAGAAAAAAACATTAAAATATGTCAATAAAATATATTGTGTTATGATAATAATTGTGTAAATGTCCTGTAAACTATAAAAATTCGTAAAGATGTGTCACTGCGATGTCAAATATATCGATAACAACAGTGTCCATATTTGTGTTGTGGTAACAGGTATCACAGTTTGTCGTACAGAGCCAAGCACGTGGACCGAGTCAAGTTCATGGATTTGGTGGCCAAGCTGAAGGACACGCAGTGGAACGACGATGGCCAGTGGCTTGCAATAGGCGCAAGACTGGAGGGTCTGTTCTCCTCGGCTCTGGACAAGTTAACGTCACGTAACGGTGGTAAAGACGACCAGCGTGCTGACTGGTTCCGGACGGAACTGTTGGCCGATACGTGTAACACACTGAAACGTGTGATGGAACCTGCCGAACCGCTGTCCGTCCTGTGCCACGGCGACTTCAACCGGAACAACCTGCTGTTCCGGTACGACGACGGCGGCCGGCCGGTGGACGCGCTGGCGTACGACATGGCCACGGTCCGGTACGGGTCGCCGGCGCTCGACTTGTCCTTCTTCCTGTACATGAACACAGATCGCCAGACCCGGGACGATCACTGGGACGCGCTGCTGGACGCGTACTGCGAAACCCTGGCCACCGCCGCCGGCGACGTCCCGGTGCCCGATCGTGGCCGGCTGGACGACGAAATGCGCGAGCGCGCGTTCTACGGGTTGGCGCACGGGTCGTTCTTCTTGAGGATCATGTTGGAGGAACAGAAACCGGTCGATCCAATGGAGTTCATCGGAAAGACTGACGATGAGGTGCTCGAGGTTTTGTTGTCATTTGGCGGGGATCGGGCCACCGAATGGGTGGCCGACATCGTCCAACACTATTTGGACACGGCGCGTGCCGAAACATGATCGCGTATTACTCACGCGCATGCGTGGATAAAGTTAATCGTATTCTTTTCAATTATTTTTTTTCAGTCTTAACGTGCTTTACGTCCTTGTATTTTAACTAACTATATTATGACATTTCTCGGATAAAAGGAATCGCAACTGGACGCAACACTTGTAATAAACTGTGTGGCTTTCATTATAATACTAAAAGAAAAGAGTATTTTGTTTTTATTTTATACGGTATATTTCGTTGTACTTTTACTTGCATGTGAAAATCGCACTCGAGTGGTACAAATAGTATAATTGTATAACGCGATATGACTATCGTATTTTTAATCACTCATATACTAGACATCGAGGGCGACTGTTTCAATTGAAACGGTTCACATGCAATTCTGTAATACATAATTATTAAAGTATATAGTTTTTTTTTTTTATCATTGCCTACTAGCGTAAGAAAAATATTGAAATCGCTTTAATTTTGATTAAATTTATTTTTGAAATTTTAACTCACCGTCAGTGGCTTTATATCTTAAAATTATAAAGTCCATTATATTAAATTTGAAAAAAAATGATTTATGACGTAGTAATCAGTTGAAAATAGTAATCACTTAGCTAGTACCTATAAATAGTATAAGTAATTTATAAAATATAAATTATAAATTAAATAATTCGTACATCGTTTCTGAGCGGTGTTTGGCTTATCTTAGGTATTTATACCTACAGTTATGTATTTAATTTTATAATTCCCCCCTCCCTCTTACATCGGTCTGCGATTGCCCCGCGTTCTCGAGCGCATGTGTCGTTCTTATCGCGTATCACATTAATCTCACACCTGTCGTGTTTTGCGTACTTAGTTTATACTTGATATTGACTTGTCCTATCAATTATTTTATTATTTATGGAACTTAATACAACAATTTTGAGCTTTTTGACTAGGAAAAAAATCATCCCTTAGGCGGTATATCGATACAAACAAAATACAAATTGAGATTGAATTATTTTAAGGGATTATGCAAAAGGTTATGACAGGTGCACATACACAAAATATACGATAAAAAAATAATAAAAAACACACAACATTATATTGTTGACCCGATACCCACATGGTTCTGTCTAAAAAATAATTATAATAATTTTATTTAGCTAGGTACCTACCTATTTATTTATTCAAACTTTTATAGTTTTATGAATATGCATTATATTGTATCCAATAATGAATGCTTGCAATTCAAATATTTAATTCATATTATACATTAGTTTTTTTATATGAACTCATCACAGCTTATCCCATTGCGTCCATACGTACACAGGAAGAATCATACTGCGTTATCGATTTGCTGTTGCTGTTACCAATATAAAAATGATATAACACTTTATTTTTTAACAGCACAATATCTTCGTTGCTGTGGTTACAAAATATATAATAGATAGTTATAGTAATATCAACTTAGGTAAGTGTAATATAGGGGAAAGTATACGTATCAATGTACTTGGGGATTAAACACAGTCTAGAAACGACTGTTCATAATACAATAATTCTGGAAACGTATTAAATGTCCAGCTTCAGCTTCTAAGTGTTGTTATTGATGTTACTATTTTCATTTTTATGACTAGATTGTAAGTCAGTATGCACATTTTTAAATGAGTATTATTAATTTTTATCTTAGAACTAAAAAGCGTAACACACAAAAAAAAAATGATTTTGAGCGTAGATGGGATAAAATCTGTAACTCAATATATATTTTTAAATTTATTTGAATAATTATCAGTAGTTTATTTTTCTATTCATTATACGGTATAACTGTATAAGTTGAACCAATTTTGGCCCAAAGTATCACTTATAATATTAGACAATAATACTGCTAGTCCCATCTCCTGTATTAACATTTGTAAAAAAAAAACTAACTTAAATATTAGAAATTGACAATAGTCCTTAAATATCATAACAATTAGTTGAAATATTTTTTTAAATGTCATTGTGTATGAAAAAAAAATGTCTTATAAAAAATCTAATGTCCATTTAATAGACATAATAATAATAATAATAATAATAATAATATTTTTCTAAAATAATTTATTAATCAGGTATATTGAAATATTTTTGAGAACGCTTCTGGGCCCCGTATGTAACTCATCGCGTGTTCTTTGGATGTGTCGAGAATTGTATTATTGTCAGTTTTGTTTATTTAACTCGATAAGACCGTATAAATAACGAAAGGTATCAGACTGATAACGTAAAACATAAAACCTAATTAGTGCATATGATTTATGAGTGGAGGCAAAGAGATAGTATATTTTATTGCACTATTAAACAAATGGAAATAATTAGTAATCAATCGCACCGCACTTGAAAAGACGTGTAATACTGTGAAAGAGTGTACCTACCTACCAACAATTAAAAGTTATGGAATTATTTATTAAAACAGAAATAAAGGCCATCGTGGCCGAAGGTGCGTTCGGTAAAAATTGTAACTTAGTGTCGTTCAACGAGTATAATGATATTATTGAAAAAAAAGAATGGAAATACAAAGCAATATTTGGAGACATTGTCACATCAGACGATATACGTTACTCCGTTTTGATCAAGTTAAAAAATCGCGATCAAACAATACGCGAATCTAGTGAATGCGATACACTATTCCAAAACGAATTAAACTTCTATGAAAAGATCATGCCATTTTTATTAGAGTGTCGTGGGCCGTTGGTAAATAATGGCAATGCTCTATCCTTACCACGGTTTTTTTATGGTCGTAACAACGGCGGCGAATTAGCGGAAAAGGATTTACTTATTTTCGAAAATGTCAATACCTTATGCTACCATTTTACTGAAGATCAAATATTCCTGGACAACGATCATTTAATCATTGCACTTCAGGCTATTGCAAAGTGAGTTGATTTTTGATTTTAGACAAATATAAATAAAATAAATTGGATTACGTATGCATTTTTTAGTTTTAAATATGATAGAAATTACAAAAAAAAAATATGCATTTTTTATAAGTACATAATGATGTATAAATTGAAAAACGACTATACGCGCTCTCTGTCATAGTTTTAAATAATAAGCTCGTGCTATCTACTAAGCTGGGTCCACCTAGAACTCTTTTGATTTTATTTACAACGAATCGTGTATGCGATGTCGACACGTCACTAATACTTAAGGTAAAATAAATGATAAAACTGAAAGAGCATTACACAATACCTACTTATAACAAAAATAAAAAGCTCAGCGTGACTCTGTCACACGGATATCTAATCATAAATAAATATCAATAGAAAGCTACGACGAACGTAAAAATATACTTCCGTTTCGACGTACTTAATACGCTCGTCAGGTCTCTAGCCTTAATTGAAAAGTTTTTAATAGAATATCCACACAACTGCACCCACCAAAGGTGCATTGCCCATACAATAACCGAGCCTGGGCAAGTTAACGATAATTTTTAACTGGGTTAAGTTAAGGCGGTAGAAAACATTTAAAACAAGTTTAAAGTTAATAGTTATTCTAATTTTTTTTCAAACTCAGTTAAGTTAAAAGTCATATGAAAACGTATAGTTAACTTATTAACTTAAGTTAAGTTAAGTTATTAATTTATTTATTGTTAATATACAAGTAGCTATAGTTATATGGTTTAAAATGATAAAAAGTAAATGTTTATGAAGCTCACATAAGATGCACATAGGATCATCGATAATAATTTTATTATATTTATTATTTAATTTTTTATAAATTGACGAAATTGGATTTGATTAAAAGTAACTAGTTATTTATTAAATTTCTATCAATAAAAACTAGTTGAGTTAAGAATTAAGTTAATGAAAATTAACTTATAAAAATAAAACTCATAAAAAGTTATGTCTTGACTAACTTAAACTTTTTAACTCGTTTATGCCCAGGCTTGACAATAACCCAATTATAATATTTTAGGTACTTCTAAAACACGTGGATTCATGATTCATAGCTTTGTCGTCCGCCGTGTCGTGCGCCTGTTGTCGTATTCTGATTGGCCGACTTAATCGCCCGTAACCATGAACTACCGCGGTAAATTCTCAGAGTTGTGTCACATCAACTTTTGGTCACGACCGTGAACTGGAAAATAATTAACTAACCCAAACCTAAGATAAACCTTTTCACAACGCCCCCCCCCCCCCCCCGTAAGACGGATAACAACGTTTCGAGTTAAGACAGTTCTGTGTAACCTGTATAATATCTCGTGTAATATTTTAGTCTCCCCGCAACGGAAACTCGCGGGTAATTTGGTACCAATAAGCGATTCCGTTATAGGGAGGTCTTACACTGACGTGTGTTCAGTTCAGCGGCCACGACACGACAGACGACGTATCTGGCGAATGCTCGAACGTTTTTTAAGTCCAAGTTTTTGTGTGTGCCCGCAGGTTTCACGGGCTGTCGTACATAGCCAAACACAAAAACCCCAGCAGGTTCCAGGACATGATCGCCGACATCCATGACCTGCAGTTCGACGGGAACGGCCACTGGACGGCCCAGAACGACATGCTGAAGAGGATGGGCAAACGCGGTGTCGACCGGCTGTTGGAGCGCGACGGGGGACGGTACCGCGACCACGAGCAGTTGCGCCGCTTGAACAGGCTGTTCGACGACGCCACCGGCACGCTGCGGCGGGCCATGCGCAGGCGCGAACCGCTGTCCGTCGTGTGCCACGGACAGTACGGCCGCGGCAGCGTCATGTTCCAGTACGACGACTGCGGGCGCCCGTCCGACGCGCTCATCATGGACTTCTTCGAAACGCGTTACGGGTCGCCCGCGCTGGACCTGTCCATGTTCCTGTTCACGACCACCACGCAAAAGGTGCGCGAGACGCACTGGGACGACCTGCTGAACGCGTACTGCGCCGCGCTAACCGCCGCCGTCCCGCCCGGCGTCCGGTTCCCGAACCGCGCCGAACTGGACTCCGAGATGGCCACGTCCGCCATCGTCGGGTTCGTGGAAGCGTCGTTCATTTTGCCGTACAAGTTGCGGGACAACAGCGACCCGCTGTTGGACGCAGTGGCCACCAGTGACGACCCGGTTGACTATTTCCTGGCGTTGGGCGGTGACGAGTGCACCAACATATTGGCCGACCTTGTACAGCACATGGTCGACATGGCATATACGCAGCCTTCTGATGCACTCTGGCAATAGTATTTAAGTGGCCTTGTAATGCACTCTGGCAATAGTATTTAAGTAAAAGTGTTCAAATAACTTTAAGTTCTCAAGACAGCGGTTCTCAACCTTGAGCGCGACACTAACATTTTTAATCGAACTTTTAGCGAACCCCAAGCCCCCCCCCCTCGCCCTTAAAAAACACAATTGCAAACAAAACTTTCATTTCTTTACAGGAAATCGGTAAATATATACGTATTTATCTGTGCTCAAATACGTGAACAAAAAAAATGTATACTTACATTCGCAACTAACCAAAACTCCGATGAGGACGCATCGAGACTCGTGGTTATTTATAAGACTAATTTAAAATTATTTTCTTCCTCAATCATTTTACTATCAGACTGTTTCAAGAATTAAAAAAAAAAAAAAAAAAAAAAAAATGGTATAATATAATTTATGTGTAAGTAGCGCTTTTGAGACTCACCTTAAATACCTCTACGACCCTAACGTGGTCGCCAACCAAGGTTGGACACTGCTCGATTAAAATGTAAATACTCTAAACACTTCTGAAGAAAGTGCCTACACATTTCTCACGAATTATCAATCTGTATGTAAAACAAAACACCTAATGATTTCCCATGTTTTTCTTATTTTGTAGAAGTAGATACCTATTTACTATGTATCTTAACCCGATATCAGATGACAAAATAAAGATAAAATATAGAAATGTGTTTGAAAAAAATTAATGATTCTAAGTGACATAAATACAAATTGAAACAATAAATTATTGTCATATTGTAAAAGTGATATATATATATAATAATATACAATACATATATATATATATATATATAATAAATCATATTGTATAATTTTATAAATTCTTTAAAAGCTACTAGAATATAATATGCTAGAATTATAATGTAATTTATTTTGATCAATATATAAGAGAATAAAAAAAAACACAATAAACTTTAATATTATTGATGATAACAATGTATATTTTGTACATAAACTACTCAATGGTTAAATTGGTTCTCCTGAGTCCTGATATTATATTTCTATACATCCTATCGCTAATCCAGTAAAAACATCGATTAAAAGTAATTCCCGTGGCACTAATTATAGATACGCACCCCATCAAGATCGACCGTTTCGAGTTATAAAAAATATGCCGTATGCTAATACATTTTTATATTTTTATCATATTTTATTAATTTTATGTATTTATTTTATTCTTACTTTGTACATTTATTCTAAAGTCGCAAATGTACCTACCTACTATATTTGTATATGTCTTCATTCAATAATACTGTACTTTGTGCTCTTGTGTCATTGAAATTGAACAAATAAATAACTTATATTATACGTATGCAGATTGACATGCCAATAAATAATATGTGAAGTGATCAGTGCTTTTAAAGGTGGGATTTGAGATAATATGTGTGATTGTTTATGAAGTTATTATTCAAGTATAAATTGTACGAACTAATTAGTACTCAATTAAACGACATAAAAATAAGACGTATTTCATATTGCGACCGACGATATTATTATACGTTATGGATCACTTCATCGAAGAAGAATTAAAAATGATTGTCAGCGAAGGTGCTTTCGGAAAAAACTGTAGCTTAGTGTCTTTCAAATTATATAATAGTATGACTGGCATAGACGAATGGTGGTACAGAAGAATATTTTGTTACATTATAACTTCGGATGGATCACACTATAACATAATGATCAAGCTAAAGATTCAAGATTTAGCATTGCGTAATTATATTGCAAGTGACCTTTTATTTAAAAATGAATTAATTTTTTACGAAAAAATTGCACCGTTCCTATTAGAGTGCCGCGGACCAACAGTTAATGATGCACCTGCCCTATTTCTACCAAATTTTTTTTATGGTCGTAACAAATGCAGTGAATTAATAGAAAATGATTTAATTGTTATCGAAAATGTTAATGCTTTAGGATATTGTTTGAGTAATGAGAAAGTGTTCTTGGACTACGAACATTTGACAGTTGCACTCCAGACAATAGCAAAGTAAGTTTAAGATTAATCTTTTATTATTCAGCTGGTAAAGTTCGTATTTATCAATTTAACATAGTTCAGTACATTGTATTATAATTTAAATTGATCGTTTCCAACATTGTTATAGAATTTGATTTCTTTTTGCAATAAGGTTTCATGGACTGTCGTATACTGCCAAACACGTCAAAGATCTGAGCGCAATTCACGAAATCGTAGAAAACGTTCACAAAGTACAGATCGAATCTAACGATCAATGGATGGCTCAAAGCGAGTTTATTAAAAAGTGCGGAAAACGAGGGTTAGGCCGGCTGTTAGAACGGGACGCGGACAAGTACAGAGACCACGTGCACATTCGTCTCATGAACGAGCTCTTAGGCGACGCAGACAAAACCTTCATACAGACATTGGAAGCTCGGGAACCACTGTCCGTCGTGTGCCAGGGCGATTACCTCAGGTACACGTTGTTGTTCCTGTACGACGAGCACGGACACCCATCCGACGCGACGTCCGTGGACTTTGGTACGGTTCACTATGGGTCACCGGCACTGGACCTGTCGTCGTTCCTGTACATGTCCACCACGCAGCAGATGCGCGAGGCGCACTGGGACGACTTGCTGGACGCCTACTGCGCCGCGCTGGCCAACGCCGTCCAGCCCGGCGTCCGCGTCCCGGATCGAGCCGAAATCGATGCCGAGATGGCCGCGACTGCCGTCAACGGATTCGCCAAAGCGTCGTTTACCCTGCCTTTCATGTTGCACGACAGGAGTGATTCGTTGGATTCGTTGGCGACGAGTGACGACCCGGCGGACTACTTTCTGGCGTTGGGTGGCGACGTGGCGACAGAATGCCTGGCTGACATGGTTCAGCATTTCGTTGACATGGGCTACCCGGACGTGAGACGTGACCTAGTGCACTCAAATCCGGTTGAGAATCCCAACTCGTTGCACTGTCAGAGCTCTAAGGAGTTAAGCTAACTGAATTGAATTTGTACTTATGTTTTTGGAAATACATTCCATCCGATATTATACTCTATTTTTTGTTGTTGATGATCTGAGTGGAGCCATAAATGTATCTTTTTTACAACGATGTGTGTGTCTATAAAGAAAGGTGTACATGATAAGTGGGCGAAATAATGTTTTTTTTTTTTTGCAATAATGAAGGTGGTTTCTGATAACGAATTTGATCCTGTTGGTGATTTTGTGAGGTCATTATTACTCATATACATATTCCCAGTGCTTTTCAAAAGCGTCGTTCAAACTTTTTTGAAAAATGTGTAAAATGTTAAATTTTTATAATTGAGGACTTACAATTTTAACCAAGGTTTCTTATAAGTAGTTTATATTGCAACCAAAACATCTTAAAACTACATAAACACAGTCTTAATAGATATTTTAAGTTTAAATCTGGTAAAAATTAGATTTTGAAAGACAATTACGATTTTGTTTGTAATATTTTAGTTGTAATTCACTAATATTATTACATAAAAAATGTTGAGTTAATTTTTGTTTATCTTTGTTGTTAATTAATTAATTAACTTTAGTTATGAGTTTGAAAATACCATTTTGATCAAATTTTCTACCAGGAATAACAATAAGTGAACGAGTTATTTTTTTCGGCTCAAAAACGTCATGGACTACAATATAGTAGTCTCAAAAAAAAAAAAAAAAAACAAAAATCATAGAAATTTAATATCGACTACTAAACAAACTCAATTTACATATAAAATCACTACTTTTAAAAATTGAAAATTGAAAACCAGTTTTTAATGAAATGGATTTAAGTTTTTTTTCTGTAACTGTGGATACATTTTTTGCTGAGCCAATAAATGAAAACATTTGGTACTAGCAACAATGTACTTCATAAGTTGATAATTTATCAATTGAGCAATAATACATAATCACAATATTTTTTATATGAGTTTAAATTTACAGCCAGTTGTCCACCTTTTTTTTATACCTTCTTACTTATTGGTAAATATTTGGTTCTCAAAATGAAAGACCTAAAATGTTTAAATCTAACTGACATAAAATATATCATTTAAGACATATTGTCACGAATACAAATTAGTTAAAAGCTATAAAAGTTTAATATACACATGCACTTTACTTTGCTTGCTCATCAATTCATATAAGTGTATTGTATATACTTTGTGAACACAAAAAAATAGACACAATAGACTATAATATTATTGATTAATTCTTATATACTACAGACTATTAAAACGTTGTAAAGTATGCAAGTTGATAAGCGCTATTAGAGGCGGGGCTTCGAGATAATATTTATGATTTGTTGTGAAATTATTATTCGATTGTAAATTGTACGCAATTATTAGTTCTAAATTAAATAACATACAAATAAGACGCATGCTATATGGCAACCAACCATATTATTATTATGAGTTATGGAACGTTTTGTTGAACAAGAATTAAAGGAAATTGTTGATGGAGGTGCATTCGGGAAGAATTGTCACTTAGTGTCTTGCAAATTATACAATTGTATGAATGATGAGAATCAATGGTGGTACCAACGAATATTTTGTAACATTATAGTTTCAGATGGATCACATTATAACGTAATGATCAAGTTAAAAATTCTAAGTTTGGAACTTCGTTATTGTTTTGGCTGTGACATTTTGTTTAATAATGAACTAATCTTTTACGAAAATATAATGCCGTTTCTATTAAAGTGCCGGGGACCGACAGTTAATGATGCACATGCACTATTTTTACCTCGTTTTTTTTACGGTAGTAATAAATGTAGTGAATTAATGGCAAATGATGTAATTGTTATTGAAAACGTTAGTACATTAGGATATTGTTTCAGTAATGCAAGAGTGTTTTTGGACTACGAACATTTAACAATCGCACTTCAGACATTAGCAAAGTAAGCGTATACCTACCTGAAATACATATTTTTTAACGATTTAATTTTTCCGAGTTCGTGTTCAAATTTGATTGTTCTTCACGTTCAGGTTTCACGGACTGTCGTATACTGCCAAGCACAAAGATCCGGGCAGAATTAACGATTTTTTAAAAAATGTTCACAGCATACACTTGGATGGCAACGGGCATTGGATGTCTCAGCATGATATCTTCAAGAAGTGCGGAAAACGAGGAGTGGACCGACTGTTGGAACGGGACGGGGACAAGTACAGGGACCACGCACGCATACGCCGCTTGAACGAGTTGTTGGACGACCCGGACAAAACCCTAATGCAGACATTGCATGCTCGAGAACCGCTGTCCGTCATATGCCACGGCGACTACCATCGCAATACTTTGTTGTTCCAGTACGACGACCACGGACGTCCGTTCGACGCGATCGCCATAGACTTTTCTACGATCCACTACGGGTCACCCGCCTTGGACCTGTCGTCGTTCCTATACATATCCACCACTCAGCGGATGCGCGAGTTGCACTGGGACGACTTGCTGGACATCTATTGTGGCGCGCTGGCCAAGTCCGTCCTGCCTGGAGTCCTTGTGCCCAGTCGAGCCGAAATCGATGCCGAAGTGGCCGAGATCGCCATAAACGCGTTCGCAAAAGCGTCGTTTTACCTGCCGTTCATGTTATGTGACACCGGAAGCAATTCACTGGATACGTTGGCGACGAGTGACGACCCGGTTGACTACTTTCTGGCGTTGGGCGGTGACATGGCGACCGAGTGCATAGCTGACATGGTTCAGCATTTTGTTTCCATGGGCTATACAGATGTGAGCCGTGGCGACCGCTCAAATCCTGTTAAGAATGCCTACTCGACGCCCTGTAAGAGCAGCACTACTCTAATTTGAGAGTATTAAAACATTCTATTTTTATTAAAAATATATTCCATTTATGATATGTATTACTGTATTTGTTGTTGGTTTGATTAATTTTATCCCAGTTTCTGATGTGTTATTGTTAAAGACTTCACGTGTTTTATATTTGAAATTAATATTTTATTATTTTTCCAGAAACTATTTTTTTATTTATTTTTTATTCATAGATATAAGATAAAGAGTAAATTTTTATGATATCCTATGTCAGAGATGGTGAACCTATGACACGCGTGTCACTCTGTGACAAGCGCACACTATTTTAGTGACACAGACGAATGTGTAAAAGTTTGATAATATTAAAGTTTAAAAAAAAAAAAATTGAAGGTTTATCGAACTATAGTTGACACTCAGGGAGAACAAAGTCCAACCAAAATTTTTATTTGACACAGTGGTACAAAAAGGTTCACCATCCCTGTCCTATGCTCTAATATTGTCATTATAAATATTTAGCTTTATTATTATTATTATTATGTTATTATTAAATCAATCTAATCGTGCCAATAGATGTTTGATAGTTAAAATAATTTAATCTAATGCCAGCTTTTTTTCACGTTAAGCACTAGACGCATCGCGGAGTTAACCAACTACAAAATATGTTTCTTAAAATTGTATTTAGGAGTTATCTTTAACTTACAAATATAAGACAACATACCTACTTACCCAAGTCTATTTGTAATGTGCTATACATAACTTCGTGCATTTTTCATAATCCCTTGAGTTATGATATCTTTTATTAATAATGGCACGATCGCAAAACTATTAACAAAAATCTTTATTTTTTCTTTGTATAATAATAATAATAATAATTCTTTATTTAAAAAAAATAAATTTAACAATACAAATTAAAAATTAATTAATTCGTAGGTCGTAGGAAGGTACTAGGTAGATATCTTCGAAACAATAATCAACACACTTCAATAAAGAATAAAAAAAAAAATTAATTTTATAATTTCAAATATAATAATAAACAATTATAATTAATTAATTAAATGTAATTAAAAATATTATTATAAATTGAACGGAATACAATTTCCTTACTCCCGTATCTATGTGGTCTGATACCACTCGCATCACAATAAGGATATTATAAAGAGTCGTTGAACACAAACAATTTGCAAAGCCGACGCCAGGGTATTATTTTTGTTGACTTATATTATTATACTGATAACCATGCTAATACAAATAGAAGTCGATAAGTGGTTTTCAAGCTTGAGTTTCAAGGTACTTGTGCTGAATTTTTAAGTTGTAAATTGAATTCAAACTATACCAAGTAGTATTCAAATGCATAACATATGAATAAGACGTATTATATTGCAACAGACCATTATATTAGGTAGTTATGGATTTTATGATTGAAAAAGAATTAAAAGAAATTGTTGGTAAAGGTGCGTTCGGGAAAGATTGTAACTTAGTGTCGTTCAAATTACATGATTATATGATTGGAGAGGAAGAATGGAGCTACCGACGAATATTTTGTGATGTTACAACATCGGATGGATCACATCATAATATAATGATCAAATTGAAACTTAAAGAATATGAGTTGCGTAAATGTTTTGAATCTGACTTAATTTTCCACAATGAATTAATTTTGTATGAAAAGATCATACCGTTCCTATTTGAATGCCGCGGACCAACAGTTAATGATGACAATGTCTTTTTTGTACCACGTTATTTTTATGGTCGCAATAATTGTAGTGAACTTATGCCAAATGATTTGATTGTTATCGAAAATGTTTGTATTTTAGGATATTATTTGAGTAATGAGATAGTGTTCTTGGACAACGATCATGTAACAGTCGCACTTCGGACAATAGCAAAGTGAGTTTACTTGAAACATTTTTAATGTCTTATTATTTAGTTCACTTTAGCACAGTTTTCTAGATTGAACTTTTGAAAAATATTGTCACATATAAAATATTACTATTATTGACATTATTACTGCAATAATATTAGTAGAAAATACAGGTATAAATATTTTGGTATCTGTAATATTTTTTATCGACAACTATAATATATTTGTAACTTATATTAATAAATCCTTTGAAAATGTAGTCGGAAAATTTGATTTAATTTCACTTTCAGGTCACATGGACTGTCGTATACTGCCAAACACAAAGAGCCCGGAAAATTCCATGATATCATGGCCGGTATAAAAAACACATTGTTCGCCGGCAACGGGCATTGGATGGCGCAGAACGGTTTGTTGAAGAAGTGCGGTCGACGAGGGGTGGAACGGCTGTTGGAACGGAACGGGAACCGGTACCGGGACCACCCGCACTTACGCCTCCTGAACGAGCTGTTCGACGACGCAGAGAACACGCTAATACAGACGATGGCAGCTCGGGAACCGCTGTCCGTCATATGCCACTGCGACTACCACCGCGACACTTTGATGTTCCAGTACGACGAGTGCGGACGTCCGTTTGATGCGCTGACCATAGACTTTTTTATGCTGCATTACGGGTCACCTGCGTTGGACCTGTCGTCGTTTTTGTACATGTCCACCACGCAGCGGATGCGGGAGACGCACTGGCACGATTTCATGGACACCTACTGCGCCACACTGGCCGCGTCCGTCCCGCCCGGCGTCCACGTCCCCGGTCGCGCCGAAATCGACGCCGAGATGGCCGCGACCGCCATCTACGGGTTGGCCAGAGCGTCGTTTTGCCTGCCATTCATGTTGCGCGTCAGGAGTGATGAACTGGATTCGTTGGCGATGAGCGATGATCCGGTGGACTACTTTCTGGCGTTGGGCGGCGACCTGGCAACCGAATGCTTAGCCGACATTGTGCAGCACTTAGTCGACATGGGTTACACCAATGTCCAATCGAATTAACCCGATAAAACTGATAATATAGCTTGTCTACTTAGGTAGTTGAGTATGTTTGTGAGTCTTGTTCCTTGTGTTTTAAAATTGTATTTTTCGTTGGTCCATGTTGATATTGGATCAAACGTAGGTGATGTATTTATTTGCGTTGTTATTTGACGGTTCATGAACTCAATTTATCAGGTAACCGAGAAGATTTACTATTTCCCTAATCGATATTAGTAATGTAAAAAACCTTTCATTTGTCGTCTCGATAAGAAAAAATGCTTTTAAATTTATTTATCAAAAACATTTTGGCTTATAAATTATCACACACTACCTATATTATACAATGACACCCATAATAGCAATGAACTACCTATCCAATGTAACACATGAATTACTATCTTCCTATTAAAAACCTACCTATTTTATCGGTTTTAATATTCATAATATTATTATCACCACTCACCTGGATCAACAAGTATCCAAGATTGTATTAAATTTAGATATTGTGATATAGTCAGCAACATAAATAAACCTGGCGTTTATTTGATGGTTCTCAGTATTCAACATTTAAATATACATAATTATATGGGCCGAATCCAGTTTTACTTATTATAACATTAAACTCTTTGAAATACAAGGTCACAGATGCACTTTAATCACCAGATGTATTTTAGAATTTGGCATGAGCCAATTAAAGCCTTATTAAAAAAAAAAATCAAACTCTATCATTTTGAATCATTTTTTTAGATAACTACACATCGTTGGCCACAATCACATTTCCAAACGCAATACCATCTGCAATGTGAAAAGTATCCGTAGTCTAGATAGGGATATTATAATGTAAAATAATAAAATAATGTTTCATGTATAGCGATACTACATATATTCTAAAAATGTGTCTCAAAAATCTTTTTTCTCACCATTATACAATACACTTTACTTAATTCTCCAGTCCTTCTATTTATACCAAAACGTGTTAAAAAAGAAACAGTAAACAATTGTATAGTCTTATAATTATAATAACTTTTTACAAACCCTATGAGGTACATTTCAAAACCAACCAGAATATAATTATAAACACAAATAAGCCGGATTGATGTACAATTACGTAATACGATATTAGTTAAGAATAATAATTATCATATTTTATTAGAATTTGGTTTTGGTACCAGGTATAAAAATATAATTGGTTTCTAATACTTGCATATGCATTGTTTGTTCTTCGTTTTGTCGATGTATTTGTAAGTAACAATCAAAATAATGTGTTAAAATGTATGATATCAGTCCATCAGAACAAAAATAACAAAGCTACAACTTTTTGTAGACGTCATAGTTAAATAATAATAAAACCTAGTCATTTTTAAAAAATTAAATTTTTTAAGTTTTATATACAGCGTGATCACGATTTAAGATAACACTAAGTGTTTCGGTCGGATGAGCTTGTATTGAAGTTAATTTTGGGGAGGACCTCGGAGGTACTCAAATAAATATTTTGTGAAATTTTCAAATTTTTAACGCTAACGTTGCGTGCATGCGCAGTACACAATTTTTATTTTTGAATGGTAATACTTATTTTGAGCACATGATTTGGATTGGCTGAATTTGTTCAAATCAATTTGACTCATAACAGTATAATACTTAGATCTAAGTTAAAAATTGAATGAGTGACAGCCATTAATCAATTTTGAAAGAAAAATGTTTAATTTACCTGTATAATTTATTAATTCTAGGTTAGTGTATGTAATTTTATTTTTTTTCATTAAATGTTATTTCTATGCAAAAACCTTCACTCCCTATAAGACAAATATTATGTTTTAAAATGTGTATAGTTAATTTCCCGACCACAAATCAAATAATAAATAAAAATGTTAAATATTTAAATACTAGGTATGTTTGTGTTAATTGCACTGCGTTAATAGAAATAATAGCAATATTTAGTACTACTACTTCTACTGTTAATAATAATAATAATAATAATCATATAAAATATAATAATTCTAAAATGCAATGAAAAAAAATAAAATTACATACATGAATCTAAAATTAAAAAATTAAACTTTTTTTTTCAAGATTGAATAATGGCTGTCATTATCATTCAATTTTGAACTTAGAGCCAAGTATTATGAGTGAAATCGACTTGAATAAATTTGGTCAATCCAAATCATGTGCTAAAATAGGTGTTATCATTAAAAAAAATACATTTTGTACCTGAGCCATAAGTTTTAATAATTTGAAAATTTCACAAAATATTTATTTCAGTACCTCCTAGGTTATCCCTAACATTAACTTCAATACAGGTTCATCTGACCAAAATATTTAGCGTTACATTAAATAGTGATCATACTGTATATATATGGTGAAAACCTACGCTACTAAATGTAACTTCCAATTCTCAAATTAATAACCAGCAATTTTGTATTAATTGATTTTATACAAATATTATGTACTGTATAATGATAAGTTAGGCCCTAAGGATTTCCTGTCATTCTTCGTGTACCTGTTGTACCTTCGAAGATGACTGTGATGAGTTGCTGGAACTGAACTGGTCGTAGAGTCCGGTGACTCCAAGGTGTCAGGCTGCGGTCAGCTGGACGTCGTCGTAATTAGCAAAACATAAAGACCCCAACCACTTACAAAGAATTGTCATTTACGTATAAGACTGTGTTCGATACGAATGAATAGTGGAATATTCAAGAAAAGAGGTGATCAGGAAATCTGGTAAACTAGGAGCTCATCCTCGATCGGCTGCATGTTCACTTCGGTGATCTTTGTCGGGACAATGAGCTCTTGCAACGGTTTAACGTACTCATCTGTGACGGACACAATTCTTTGACACTCGCGGATCCCCACGAATCACTAGGTATCGTATGCCAATCGTGTGCCACGGTGTACCTGTTGATCTGATTCTGTTTGATTTCGAGACCCTTCATTGCAGGTGCCCAGCGTCAGACCAGTCGATTTTCGTGGATGTAATAACAAGTGTACCACAAACGAAAGTTCAAATCAACGTATACGATTTAACACTGAATTGGTCGATTACATATTTATGATCGATACCGACATCTTATTAACAATCTGTTTGCGTTAAACTGTCAAAAGTTTCTGATATGACTTTGGTCATGGTAGAATGGATTCTCAAGTTAACATTATCAATTCGTTACTGCAATGTACGTATTGCAGGTACTGTCATTCCAATGGCGAAGCTCCTAACCTTGTACTTAATAATAGTGTAATATAATGTAACGATATGGGCGGGCGATAATGACTTATAAGATAATTATATTTTAAGAGCCAATTGAATCACATTTATTAATGTATGGTAAACAATGAGATATAATCTATAGAGGTTTTTTTTAAAAATTATGCTATGTAAACCTACTGAGTAAGTATTATTTACATTGTAACGTAATAGTGTACGAATAGATTTTATATTTTATTAATCACAATTGATCATACATTCATGCAGAATGAAATAATACATTAATTTAGTATTGATGAATATCGGTTGAATCAGGTTAAATTAAAAACGTTATAATTATCACACTTAGAAACTAATAGAACTAATCGCTATTTAGATAATAACATCTGGAGTTTTAAGTCATATCAATCTCCGTGTGTAGACAAATTGGAAGTGGAAAGATAATAGTATAGGAAGTATATTATATTGTGTGCTTTACTAAATCGAATTAGTAAAGACTATACGGTACAAGAACAAGACAATTTAAGGTATTGTGATAAAATCAATAATTTCAACAATGGACTCCTTATTGCGAGAAGAACTGCCAGAAATTGTGAGTAATGGTGCGTTCGGAAAAAATCTCAAATATGTCTCATTTGATTTGGACAAGGATAGCGTCGCACAGGATCAGTACATGTCCACAGTAATATTTGGTACAGTCACAACATCTGACGAATCACGACATCGTGTTGTAATAAAGTTAAAACTTCGAGATGAGACCGTAAGAGCTAAGTTTAAAATCGACTTTCAATTTCACAACGAAATTACTATGTATGAAAGAGTTATACCATTCATATTTGAATGCCATCGCTCTTTGTCAGGTGTCGAAGATTGGCCTACATTGGCTCGATTTTTTTACGGTCGTAATAAATGTGGAGAATTTGCTGAAAAAGATTTAATAGTATTGGAGAACGTTGCTCCTTTGGGATTCAAATTGAGCGAAGCACGTCCGTTCCTTGACTATAATCACCTTGCAGCCGCGTTCCGAGCAATAGCCAAGTGAGTAAACATATTAATAATTAAAAAAAAAACAAATTCAATTGTATGAAAAAATACTGAAGTCTGAAATAATCACTATATTCACGAAATATGTGACAGTTTGTTTATTTTTTGATTATGCTTAAATGCTCAATATACAAAATAACTCAGTAGTAAAAATACAATAGTTTATACATTTTTCAAAGTTTTTTCTTTGATTAAGCAACTTTATTATGAAGATTTGTGAATTTTTAGTTACACTCAAATATTTAATACCAATACAAATTAACTTTTTATTTATTATTTTAGTTTATTTTTAAGTCTGAGTACAAATAACATTTTGAAACAGTATTCTTAAAATAATTTGATCCAACGCCACGTCAAATAAAATATGACCAATTTGTTTTACTTTTAGGTTTCATGGGTTGTCATACACAGCAAAACACAAAAACCCCGAACGTTTTCAAAAAATCGTCAAGGATTTCCGAGATACACAGTTTGACGCCAACGGGCAGTGGACATTTAAGGACAACGCGGTGAGTCGATTTGGTAAACGAGGACTCGACCGACTGATTGAACGTAGCGGTGACCTTTACCGGGACAACGAGCACGTGCGACGATTTGATTTGCTTATCAACGACGGAGCGAACTCATTAAAACGTGTGCGTACTCCCCGAGAACCGTTTTCCGTCGTGTGCCACGGGGACTTCAACCGGAACAATGTGCTGTTCCGGTACGACGAGGCGGGACTTCCGGTCGACGTGTTGCTGTTTGATTTCGGGACGCCTCGTTACGGGTCGCCGGTGTTCGATTTATCGTTTTTCTTGTACATGAACTCGACGCAAAGTTTGCGTGAAAGTCGGTTGGACGATTTACTAAACGTGTACTGCTCGACGTTAGCCGAAACTGTACCGTCCGGCGTCCGGGTGCCAAACAGGGCCGAACTGGATTCCGAAATGGCCAAGTGTGCTTATTATGGCTTTCTACATGCGTCATATTTCTTACCCCATGAGGTGGCAACTAAAGTCGTTCATAAAGAGAATATGGACGATGAAGAAATTATACAGTGGTTATTAGAGGTGGGTGGGGAAAATGGAACGGATAAAGTAGCTGACTTAGTCCAACACATCGTTGATATGGGATACACGAACGTGTTACCTAATTAACTGTTTTTGACAATTGTTTGTTACTAATCACAATAATGTAATTTTATGTTGGTTCGGTGTTCATTCAAAGATTTTTTTTTTTATAACTAATAATGTATTTCTATTCTTAATGTTTGTGTTAACGTAGGTGTTTGTATCAATATCATTGTATTTTACTTTTACATACATCCTTGTTTAAACTACTGCCGTTAATATTTAATTCTTCAATTTATGTTATTTTTTTGATAAATGATTATTACTAATGGTCATTATTGTTACACTACACCGAACAAACAATTTTGAGAGCAGCATTATATTTTATCATAATTGTTCACATTATATTTGTTTATTGAGGAATTACATCTTTTATTATTGCTTTTATTACTTTATAATTGTAACTAATTGTTATGTTGCCTTGATGCTCAGTTAATGCTAATTATAAGTACCTATTTTGATTATTTACATTGTCCTTATTCATACTATTAATCGTTATGTTAACGAAAGTATAGGTAGGTACAAAGTATAAATATCTATACCATTGAGTTATTAATGTAGTCAATGCCAATGAAATTATAATGTGCTGCAAATACAGAGCTGAGTCTAAAATATCATTAGGGCTACATGGTCATATTGTTTAAATGTAAAAATGAAATCGCACCTCATTTTATTGTTGAGTACCGATGAGTTGTGAGATCATCATTAAATGTAGTGGAAAAAAAATGACTTAAAACAATAAAAGCATGGAAAAAAAGTCAATGCAGTTGGCTCTATTTAATTCTACTATGAGAATATTTATAAATATCTTTTATTTACACTATATGATGTATTAAAACATGAAGAGACACTGTATACAAATCATTATTGATATTATACAGAGAAATGGTGTCCCACTAGTTTTGTGATATTATCCTCATGAACTTAAAAATTATAAAATTCAATGTTTCCCCGGCAATTCGACAATTTTTTTTTATCCTTAACAGATATAATTTAATATTGAAAAATACAGCCTAAAATTGATTAAAACAATAGCAATTAATATCACACTTAGTAAATATTAAATCGCTATTTCAAATTGAAATTTGGTGATTACGATAACATTAATCACGGCTTTACTTGAATTACAAATGAAGTGTTAGATAATAATATAGTTAACAGCGTGATATCATAACGAAAATTAATTAGTACTCAACTGGATGAGAACTAAGAAAGTTGGGCACACGTGAAAAAATCAATCATTATAATAATGGAGTCTTTATTGCAAGAAGAACTGCCGGAAATTGTAAGCAATGGTGCGTTCGGTAAAAATATCAAATATGTTTCATTCGAATTAAACAAAAATCAAGTTGGGCAGGATCAATACATGTCCACAGTATTATTTGGTTCAGTCACCACTTCTGACGGATCACAGTATAGTGTTGTGATCAAGTTAAAACTTCGTGATGAGATAATGCGAGTAACTCGTAAAATCGACCTTCAATTCCACAACGAAATTACTATGTATGAAACAATTATACCATTTCTATTTGACTGCCATCGTTCTATAGCAGCAGGTGTCGGGGACTGTCCTACATTAGCTCGATTTTTCTACGGACGTAATGAATGTGGTGAGTTTGTTGAAAAAGATTTAATAATATTGGAGAACGTTGCTCCTTTGGGATTCAAATTGAGCGAAGAGCGTCTGTTTATCGACTACGATCACTTCGTAATTGCGTTACAAGCATTGGCCAGGTGAGTTGACATAAAAATACTTTAAAACAAATGGATATTCAATTAGAGTACTTAAAAATTACCCTAAATTTACCTTTACGTTTTTATTATTTGACGTGAATGACGTCTGACTATTTTCAAACGTAAGAACTTCAATAAAGATTTAAGAATATAATTTTGAAATAGTTTAAAAAATAATACCATTTAATGTCTATTCATTAGAATATAATCATTTAATTTATTTTCAGGTTCCATGGGTTGTCATATATAGCTAAAACCAAAGACTCCGATCACTTACGAACAATTGTCAAGGACATTCACGACACTCAGTTTGACGTAGACGGACAGTGGAAATTTAAAAACAATGCATTATGTAGATTCGGCAAGCGAGGAGTCGATCAACTGCTTGAACGTAGTGGTGATATTTATCGAGACAACGAGCACTTGCGACGATTTAACGAGCTCATCGGCGATGGAGACAACTCACTGCGACGTGCACTCGTTCCCCGAGAACCATTTTCCGTCGTGTGCCATGGATTCGCACATGCATCATTTTTCTTACCTCATCAGTTAGAATCTGATGACATTCTTAATAATGGAAGGAACGACGAAGAAATAATGGAGTGGATTTTACAGATGGGTGGCAATATTGGGTCGGATCTCGTGGCTGACCTAGTCCAACACATCGTCGACATGAAATTCACGAATTTGTAACGTGGATTTTAGTTTGTTCATTATTGTTTGGTGCTGATCGCTATAACTTAATTTCATGTTTTCTTCATGTTTAGTTAAAGCTGTTAATAAGTACCTACTATGACAATTTACGTAGTGGTTATTATTTTAATTAATAGATAACGTAAGTATATAGCTCTGAAATATAAATACATCACATACGACCTCAAGATATGAATATAGTCTAGACTCTAGGATTATGAAATTATCTCGCAGAAGGTCGTTACCACAGAGCATAATATTTTGCCATTGTAATAAAACGTCTACGAGTATGGTGATGTATCTACCTCTTACGCCAAGTGTCAGTAAGAGTGTGTGTGAGACCATATCCGTTGGTTAGCGACGATTGGTATATAGACAAACAGTGTATTTTTGATTTTGCGTCATTTGGTTTATTTTAATAAAAGGTTTCCACTTATATTTACTGTATCTTGCCATTTGTTCTCATATGATCTGCAGTAAACAATTAACTATTGGTCGCGTTGAGGATCAAAGGCATGTTTATAGATAGAATATTGTGTACTCTTAGGAATCTTACTTAAACCAGTTACTTTTGATTTTTTTGCGAGAGCTGTAAAAATTGTTGTGTAAGCATACTTTAGTCTTTAAAATTATAATGCAAACGTTTTAATGGACTCTTAAATTATTCAATTTCAGATTTATAAACGATATTGACATACTTGAGATATTCTATTCTAATCTGGCATCGGAAGTGGTAGAACGGAGTTTATTTTTCGCAATTATATATACGTCATAACTAACTATTACTGCCTTTGTGACTGGAGTACCTCCTTGTTCTGTTATTTCAAAGTCAGTTTTATGGTAGAGTACCGAATAGTTATGAGATTATAATTTAATATAGTGGATTAATCACATGTAATTATAAATCTATGATAGATAATGACATTCAGTTGGTTTTCCTTAAATTCTAATATTCTTGAATAAGTATTATTTATAGTCTTGTGTACTAAAACATGAATAGACACAGGGAGTTGTTGATGAACATACTACACATAAATATTCATAAAGATTTATGGTTTTATCCTAATTGAATTTGGGAAATCAGTGACCACCCACTCGACCACTCAGGGGTACATGGATAGGTTAGGTTAGGTGTATGGATGTATTACGTAAACAGTTCGACATAAAATTATTAATTAAAATATATAATTGTATCAAAAGATTAAATAATCATTTTTTTAAATATTTTTAATATGTATAGGTACATATTACTTAATACAATGTATGCTTTTTAAAATTAGAATTGTCTACATTTATAACATATAACATTTCACCCTTTTACTATAATCTCGATGCTATAATTAGTGGCATTAAAATTTAAGACGTAAGAAAACAAATTTTGTAACTTTTGACAACTGATTACCAAAAAAAAAAAAATTGAAATAGGAAAAGGTATACAAGCTGACCCCGCGTCGTGTACTTTGCCCGCATGACAGTAAACGTTTTTTGAATACTGGTGAACAAAGATCTAACATCATGTGTTAAACGCTCGTTTCCTAGGTTCAGACAAGACCTTGCTTCAGATCATAGGTATATTGATATCTGTGTTCCACGATGTAGAGAAGATGAGGTTTTACTTAATTTTCAATTATCATTAATATCGGTGGGTGTTTTCCATCCCCAGCAACGCCTCTCCACTAAATTCGCCCCTGAACCCAATTATATTCAAAGATCAATCTACGATGGAATTACTGAATTAAGCATTGCTGAATATTGTTCAAAATATGCTAGAATTAATAAATTCAAACTTAACACACGTCACACTAAATAATAAAACAGTATTTTGAATTACACGAAAGTGTTATGTAAAATGTAAATGTTAGTTTATTACAAGAGCAGCAACTGTTATATTATGTAATCATTAGATACAATACTGCAGTTTATTGAAAATATTAACCTTTCTCAATATTTAACTTGATATGTAACTAGACAGTCAGTTGATAATAACTTTGAAGGTTAAAATTAAAGTTAATTTTGTAACAAATTATATAAAAGCTTTTATACTTAATAATAGGGAAAATAAAAAAATATAATTTCTAAAATAATAATAGACAATTGGAAATTAATGAAGTGTTGTTAGAAATATTAAATTATTTTGAACAGAATAAATGTACTTTAAAGAGTCGTTGAATATAAACAATTTGTAAAAATTGACATAAATATGTTATTTTTGTTGATTTTAACTAAACTGATAAGTGGTAATCATATTAATACAAATATTTATCGATGAGTGCTTTTTGAGACGGAGTTTCAAGATAATTATAATGAATTGTTAAGTTATTAGTTAATTAAAATTGAACCAAGTTATTAGTATTCAAAAACATAGTATACGAATAAGACGTATTTTATTGCAACATAAAATTATATTAGTTATGGAGTTTATCGTTGAAAAAGAACTGAAGGAAATCGTCGACGAAGGTGCGTTTGGGAAAAATTGTAACTTAGTGTCATTCAAATTACATAATTTTAATTATATGGTAAGAGACAAGGAATGGTGCTACCAACAAATATATTGTGGTGTTACTATATCAGACGGATCACACCATAATATAATGATCAAGTTAAAAAATCAAGACTTCGGAGTTCGTGAATGTTTTGATATAGACATACTTTTCCATAACGAATCAACTTTTTACGAAAAGATCTTACCGTTCTTATTAGAGTGCCGTGGACCAACAGTTAATGATGAAAATGCCCTTTTTGTACCTCGTTATTTTTATGGTCGTCATAATTGTAGTGAACTTATGCCAAATGATTTGATTGTTATAGAAAATGTTAGTATATTAGGATATTATTTATGTAACGAGAAAGTGTTCTTGGACTACGACCATTTAACAATCGCACTTCAAATAATAGCAAAGTAAGTTTATCTGAATTATTTATAACATTTATTATTCCCTTCATAAAATCCTTTTTTCGGGGGGGATTGAAGTATAAATTTTAAAACATAAAACAAAAACAAACTTAGAAATATGTACTAAATAATAATAACTGTAATAGCATAATCGTCAACAGTATAATATACACAACCACTATCTCAATAATAATAAAATAAGTTTCCGTTTTTATTTTTTTATTTTTTTTTATAGCTTATTGCATTTAAATCAACTGAATTTACATTGTTTCCATGTTCTTAAATAATCGAATCAAACAAGTTTTTTTTTATGTTTGAACCCGAAACAAAATTTCTAAATTTTAGTTTCTAACATATAGGCAATGTTGGGCAAGTTACTCAATTTATCTTAACTGGTTACTCGAACACTGTGTAACTAGTTACAAGGTACTAGATACTTAGATTTCATGTAACTGGATAAGGTAACAATCAAGTAACTAAGTCACGTTGATAAAAAAAAATAATTTTTGAATTTATTCATTTATTATAATTAACATATTTTTATAACAATACTGTAATAGTTAATTACTAATATTAACTTGTGTAAAATATTCTTTCCAAATTACAATAATTCTATTAAGACAATTTAATATATTAAGCATAAAGTGTAATTATAAAATAAATGATACCCCAACCTGTCCATGGTATTTATATATTATGTTAATAGAATTTAAAAAGATAAAATTAACTAATATTAAATATAATAGTTAATACTAATGTATAGTATGTACAGTGTAACATTTAACTGTAGATTGTAACATTCATATAATATTACAGGAAAATGTGTGACTAGTTACAAGTCACAAGTTAAAAGTTAAAAAAGTAACCGAGTTACATAACTTAGTTAGGTACCTTTTATTATGATACGACCCAACCCTGCGTATATGTATTGAATATTGATAGAATATATTATACCCAGTAATTATTTTCCTGTTTACTTAATACAACAACCACTGCAATATTACACAATGAGTTAATTATTTTCATTTAGTCACATATTAGATTGAATTTATTTTATAGTTTTGTCACATATAGATGTTTGTATATATATATATTATATTTATAATAATTTTAACATTTGATTATTTATTATTGTTATTAACATATTAGTTAATACCATCGTAAGTGTTCTTTGTAAAATCACTTAAATAAGTGTATATATTTTCAATAGTTTTCATCGATTTTAAAAAGTAAAAATTGAAGTAGGTAATAGTGAAATGTGTGACGTTCATGTAGTCAGTATTTTTCGAATTTTAACAAAATTAGCGTAATCGTATAAATAAAAGGTTACCATGTAATAACTAATTGTATTTAATTTAACGTTAGGTATCACGGACTGTCGTATACTGCCAAACACAAAGACCTTGGTAGATTCCGGGACATCATCGGTTGTATCAAAGAAGTTCAGTTCAACGGGCAATTGATGTCGCAGAATAACCTGTTAAAATCTTTCGGCCAACGAGGGATGAAACTACTGTTGGAAAGGGACGGAGACAGGTACCGAGACCACGTGCACATGCGCCGCTTGAACGAGTTGTTCGATGATGCAAAGAACACAATGATGCAGACATTGAAAGTTCGCGAACCATTTTCGGTCATATGCCACTTGGATTACCACCGCGACACCCTGATGTTCCAGTACGACGAGTGCGGACGTCCGTTTGACGCGCTGACCATAGACTTTACAATGCCACATTACGGGTCACCCGCCTTGGACCTGTCGTCGTTCCTGTACACGTCCACAGCGCAGCAGATGCGGGAATCGCACTGGGACGACTTGCTGGACATCTACTGCTCCACGCTGGCCAAGTGCGTCCCGCCGGGTGTCCGTGTCCCCAATCGAGCCGAAATCGATGCCGAGATGGCCGCGACCGCCATCAACGGATTGGCCAAAGCGTTTACTGGCGTACCGTATTTTTTACGCTCCAGAACCGATGAACTGGACATGTTGATGACGAGCGACGATCCGATGGACTACTTTCTGGCGTTGGGCGGTGACGTGGCAACCGAATGTTTAGCCGACACTGTGCAGCATTTGGTCGACATGGGCTACACGGATGTGTGACGTGACTTAAACTCTGATCCAGTTTAGAATTTAAATTTAAATTAATACAGTCAGCCCACATTGGTAGTAAAACAGATTTGAGTGTTTTGTGCCTTATTTTGTCGCATACACTTTTAGATCATTTACATGTACGTATTAACTGTAAATGAGTGGACTAATTTATTCCCATCTCATCGCTTGAAGTGTTGTGATAATCGAATGCAATTGTATACGAATTGTAAACCTTCTTTATTTTTCATTATGCTTTATGAGTGTAAGATAAAACTAGGTATACTGCCACTGTAATGTAACAATCGTATATTTAAACATCTTACTATAAGGTATTTGTATTATATTGTATTAGGTACATATCAAATTATTTTAAAGCTGTTTAAATTAGTTACCTATATTAAGTATTTTTTACAGCTCTTTTTTTACAAAAAATTATAAAATAATAGTAAAAAAAACATTCTGCTTACAATCTATAAAAATATACAAACATGTTAACCTAATTTGTGGTAAAGCTATTCTTAGCTTAGGATTTCTGAAGAGAAATTTCTCTGAACTTAACAATACTAATTGTCTTATAATTTATCTCTTGTTAGACCTATTCTTGAGTTTGGCTAGATTGTTTGGAACCCAGCTCAAGTTGGTTATACAAAACCCACTTGAGAAAATTCAAAGACAATTTCTTCGTATGCTCATAAAATCGGTTTGGATGGTAAACCAGTAAGTGATGTCGCCATAAGATGCCAAATACATTCTTCAGAACATAGACAGCTTAATTTATACGTATCATAAATCTATAAACTTTTAAATAATAAAATCGATTGTCCTGATCTAGTGGAACAAATTTTTATCAGGCGCCAGATTATTATACGCGTCGATCTCACTTATTTTTTTACCAATCTAGTTAAGAATAATTTCTGTAAATACAGTCCACTTAACCGTATGCTGAGCTCTTGTAACGACATCTCAAATTCGGTTTTTCTTTCTTTGGTAATGTTAACAAACCTAAGCTCTTTACATAGTAACCGCTAATTTAAATTTTTTTAGTATATTTTATTATTTTATTTAATCTATTACTAAACCATTATAATAATTGCATCTTTATCATATTGTAAATGAATATCATCATGTGTCATTATTTTATATTGTTAAACTTAATTGTAAGCACTCCGTAATTTGTATTATTGTAGGCTTATGTATTTCTGTAACTCAACACCCTTCAAGGGTACCACTTACTAAATAAATAAATAAAATACAAGTATAAGCATTGCCTTTTCTTGAGATCTTTCTTCTTGTGGTTTTGCATTTTCGAAGCTCATGATGACTTAAACAAATAAGAAATCGGTCCTGGGCTTACTTTTGTAAATATTTTTTTATATGTTTTTATATGGTATAGTGATATATATAAATTAAATTCTGAAATCTATGTATTTAACCTATATATTTTCAAAATTTAAAGAACTTAATGAATATTTAAAAGCAATACAAGTTACTGACATAGTCATTAATAAACAACTGCTATTGTTCAGTTTTATTTTTTGTTAAATCATTGTAAGTGACTTATAACTAGCTTATAGCTAGTCTTATGACTAGTTAAAAAAGTTCCCAGAAACAACTATTTTTAAAACAAAAAATCTCAGACAAAAATAAATATTCAACCTAAATAATACAAATATAGATAGATACAAACCACCAGTACCAAGTAGAAGAGGTTTTAAAAAATATCAAACCAGTTACCAACAAAATAAATAGAAGTATAAAATCTATACGTGTCATTCAAATATGTAAAAATGCTTTTGACACATTTATAGATTCTGAAAGGAGTGATATATATATTAACAATATTATCTTTATATATTATTAAAACGTGAGGCGATTTCTTGTGACAGTTATATCTGAAATTCTACCGGGCCGATTTTCACAATTTTTTTTTAAACGAAAGTACTCGGTGTGTAGATTTAATTATTTTAATAGTAATTAGAAGTATAAAGTTTGTCGTATTATATATACCTATATATATATAGGCGGACCCTAGGGTTTCCATAACTACCTGTAACCTGGCAACATATATGGTGACATATATGTATTATTATACATGTATACACATGATTTGAGTTATAATTTACTTAGTTGAAAAAATATAGGAAAACAAAATTTAACAAATGGGTATACCTGATCATCAAATAACTGAGCATCTGAAATACTGACTACTTCTTTTACGTTTTGACAGTTCAACCTTAAATTATTGTTAGGTTTTCCCCATTATTAACATAATCTTCTTTGGCATCATTAAACAGTTCTAATTTTTGTTGACAAGTGTTTCCGCTGCCTTTTTCTAATGAGTCAATACACTTGGACAAATTATCAAACAAATTGTGTAAATCTGTTTCAATATTTTCATATACTAATAATAAATGTTGATCAGATTGTTTTTTCAGAAGTATTTCATTTATCTATAATTAATAGAAAACAATTATTATTTAATTCATAATATCCATTAAATTTTAAAAAAAAAATGTGTGTGGTTTGACATAAAATAAATGTTTTTGGGCTAAATACAAAATATGTTTTTCTGACTATTACAATTGTCACGGGAACCAAACAAAACCATGATTTAAATTATATGTATCGATAAATGGAATAATTAATCAATTATAAACTAATAACAATTTTTTTCTTAACGATTTCGTGTAGCTTATTATATGTTGCTACTTACTTACGGTTGCGATGGCAACCAAACATTAACAGATAAATGAATACCTTGTGCTTTATTGACCGACTTTGGGTTACCAAATAAACCATATGCATGGAAAAACATTGAATAATAACAAATAGCCACAATTATTGAAATACCAGCGACCGCCAAAAACATGCAGGTACTTTTTTTGCTCGTTTATCAATAAATATACGCATAAACTGTGAAAACCAAACCAGAAAAGATATAATAAGCACATTGTATATTGATAACTTCTGTTTTGCTGCAGATTAAAGTATTAACTATTGAGTGAGGCGATAAGTAATTTTAGAGGTGGAGTTTCAAGATACAAAATTATAATTAAATTGTAAATTGTCCAAATGATTAGTATTCAATTTATTAACATATAAATTAGACGTAGAATATTGCAACCTGCCGATTATAAATTATGGAAGGTTTCCTTGAAGAAGAATTAATTAATTTAATTGTCAGCGAAGGAGCGTTTGGGAAAAATTGTAATTTAATATCATTCAAATTATATAATTGTATGACTGGTATGAAAGAATGGTGGTACCGAAGAATATTTTGTAACATTATAACTTCCGATGGATTACACTATAGCATAATGATCAAGTTAAAAATTCAAGATTTGGTACTGCGTGAATGTTTTGGATGTGATTTTATGTTTGATAATGAATTAATTTTTTACGAAAAGATCGTACCGTTCCTATTGGAGTGTCGGGGACCAACAGTTAATGATGCGCATGCACTATTTTTACCACGTTTTTTTTATGGTCGTAATAAATGTAGTAAATTGATGTCAAATGATTTAATTGTTATTGAAAACGTTATTACATTAGGATTTTGTTTGAGTAATGACAAAGTGTTCTTGGACTACGAACATCTGACAATCGCACTCCAGACAATTGCAAAGTAAGTTTGTACGTAATACTAAATTCAATATTTTTTTTTGAGATTTAAGTAATAATTAGAAAATAATAATAATAATAATAACGAGATGAGTAATTGTCAACAAATCTACATCTACACCTATAGTCAAAAGTCAACCACTTTTATAATAATAAATCATTTCCGTGGCTTATGTAAATATAGATTACTAGTCCTAAACTGGCTCTTGGCACAACAAATTCATTGAAACTATTGTTTCCAAGATCTAAATCAAATTTGATTTTTGTTTCCACGTTCAGGTTTCATGGACTTTCGTATACCGCCAAACACAAAGATCCTGGTAGAATGTATGATGTCGTAAAAAACCTGCACAACGTGCAGATCGACGAAAACGGCCACTGGATGTCTCAGCACGACGTCTTTAAAAAGTGCGGCAAACGAGGAGTGGACCGGCTGTTGGAACGGGACGGAGACAGGTACCGAGACCGAGTGCACGTGCGCCGCTTGAACAAGCTGTTAGACGACTCCGAGAACACGTTAATGCGGACCTTAAGTGGCCGAGAACCGCTGTCCGTCATATGTCACGGCGATTTGCATCGCGAAACGTTGATGTTCCAGTACGACGAGCACGGACGTCCGTTCGACGCACTGCCCGTAGACTTTTTTACGCTGCATTACGGGTCACCTGCGTTGGACGTGGCGTCGTTCCTGTACATGTCCACCACGCAGCAGATGCGCCTAGTGCACTGGGACGACTTGATGGACACTTACTGTGCCGCACTGTCCGCTTCCGTCCCGCCCGGCGTTCGCGTCCCCGGTCGCGCCGAAATGGACGCCGAGATGGCCGCGACCGCCGTCAACGCGTTCGCCAAAGCGATGGTTGGCCTGCCGTTTTTGTTGCGTACCAGAAGCGATGAACTGGACTCGTTGGTGACGAGTGACGATCCGGTGGACTACTTTCTCGCGTTGGGCGGCGACAAGGCGACCGAATGCTTAGCCGACATTGTGCAGCATTTAGTCGACATGGGCTACACGGACGTTGGCCGTGACTCGCACTCTGATCCAGTTAAGAATTTGATTTCATAACACAGTTCGTCCACACAGGTATAGCTGATGATCTAATTCGAGAGTTACACAATTATTAGACAATAAACATGTGAATATATGTTGTTGATTTGACTATTTTATGCTCATTTTAAACGATGTGTTATCAAGACTATTAACCTGCAAAATTACCTGCGTAATGATCGAATCCAATATTTTATACATTTTAAAAGCTACTCCGCATCTTAAAATATATTTAATGTACTACTTATACAATTAATTTTAAGCATGATCAGTTGCTTGTATTACGTTATAATTAATTTAATTAAATAATTTTTTTTTTTCAAAGTGAATTTAAATAAACATAAAAAAAGAGGGTAAGTGGACGTCGCTCTGCTGTACAGTAGGTTACAAGTGGGTCACTGTAATGGATGGTGTTAAATTTGAATTGAATGATATAAAACCATTAAATATTCTGAGCGAAAACGGTCCGTCAGTCTATAATACTACTTAGTAATTTAGTATGTTTGATGATATTATTGTGATTAAAGAAATTTATTTTACTACAAAGCATTAGTACTTCTGTAGATTAAAATCATTTTTTCCAAAAAAAGTCAATGTGTGTTCAAAACATGATAATGTTCTCTTAAAGTTTCAAGTACTCACGAATAATATTTTTAAATTATAACGAAATAACTTAAATCATTATTCTTGGTTATTTAGTAAGTAATTTCGTTCACATTTGAACATGATACAACTATAAAAGAAAAATGTGCATAAATGTTTTCAGATTTTTTGGTTTCAAAATACCATACTTAAATGAAACCGTGCTGTAAATGATCAACCTTTAGCTATAAAGGTTGAAAATTTAAAAACATTTTGGCCATTAAATTATTCGTAAATGTTGAATGATATACATTTTGTCAAAATTTGAACATTAATTCCTTATAAAATATCTTGCCTATGTATTCTAATATTTTTCAACTGATTTTTAAACAATATATCATAAGCCCTGCATTAAATTTTCATGCTTTTCAACTCAATAAAAAATTTTTATTGACATTTATAAAAAAAAAAAACTAAAAAAATGTAAATTGATAATATGCGTCTAAATGAGTCAGAATATTTTGAAAATTGTATGGTGTATAGAAAATGAGGATGTAAATACTCAGTGAAAACTTAAAGTATATACAATATTTTTTTTTTAAAGTTACATCAAAAACCGAAATTGATGATGTCGAAAATCAGATTTCCGTAAGAATTCTAGTTTTTCTGCATTTTTCGGTTTTTTTCCTGCTGCTTTTGAAAACTATTGGGAATTGTAAATTTGACCTCCCGAATGCACCAGCTATCAGAAAAAAAATGCAGCTGAAGAAAATTGAAGCACTTTTACTGCCTCAAAAGTTGATGAAAAACAAAAAACAAAAAAACATACATCACAGTAAAATCGATACATTCATTGCTCCGCTCAGAATCTAAAATGTATTATTGATTTATTCTAATCACTAATAATATTGGTTAGAGAGCTCAGCACTTTACTTTCCTAAATATTATTTTTATTTATAATGTTTCGTGGGATATCTGAAAATTACATTTTTCCAAATCGAAATATTTATAATATGAATAGGTACGATGAAATTAATTTTTTTCTGAGTTATTTAAAAATGAAAAATATTGAAATAGGCAACCGGTACAATCTAGAAAATTACCTTACTAAGACTGAGATTGCATTCAAGTTATACAAATTATTAACACTTGAATTAGTAAGTTTTTCATTAGTTATAACTTGCAACCTGAATATTATTCAACAACTTATTTAATGCTATTTAAATATTATCTAAATGTTTCAAAAGTATTAGTAAGTACTAGTTATGTGTGATAACATTTCGGAGATAAACGTTTAATGTAAAGGTATGGGTACTCAGTTGTTTTGATAGTTAAAATGTAGATATATAGGTACTTCTATATACTTACGTGAAGTAGGTACACAAATAAAAATGTTTATCAACGAATTTTTTTTCTCCCTATCTAGCTAAAATATGGATATTATAATTTAGGTTATAAAATTAAAAATCAAATAATAAGGTGCGAATAGTATTTAAATATAAAATGTAATAATCTTTTGATTTTGTGTTATAATTGACGCCGAGACTACGTTTGGATGAACATTTCAATAAAACCGATACCGTAATGGATCAGTTTCGGGACTTTGCACCAGAAACTGATAATGTCCATAAGTTAAAATATGAGGCGTTAACACGAATGCAAATATTATTATAAATAATTTTTTATAATGTAGTAATTATATTGTACAGTATATATTTTATCATCCAAGTAATACGTCGAGTATATATTATATACTATGAGATGTGAACAATAGTTTAATTTTCATCGATTTAAAAGCATACGTATAATGTAATGTGGTCAAATGGTTGACAAAGACGACTAACCTAAAAATTATACAGTAAACAAAATTTGACGCGTAAATTTAAATATATAATTTTTTAATATATTTAATGGCACAATAACATTTATTAAATAGTTAAATACACACATACATAGGTACAGTACGCCCGATGACTAATATATACATATATAATGTATTATTCATTTATACAATGATAATACAATTGAAATCATTTTGATGTGATTACACTTATTAATTTTCGTACCATGGTCACCAATACCCGCTATTAAACAAAGTTCAAGTCCAAGGTATCGTAATTAATTATTCACTGTTCATTACTATATTTTATAGTAATCATTATTGTGTAAGCATTGTAAAATATAAATAATAACATTGTTATGTATATCAAAATAAACTAAGAAAATATTTTATAAACATTTATGAAATTGTTGATGATATCGATATTTTGAAAATCTCTCAATATAAATTAAATAGAAATATCATAAAGTTGTGACAGCTTACTTTATTACTCGTGTATTATTTTTATATAAGAGTTTAGGTCTACAGTTGTGTTTAATAATTTAGTGTGTAGTGAAGATGTGTGTGGTCGCAAGTTGTTCAACAAAGTTTGATACGTTTTAATTACAATTGTTTGCATATTCGTATATCTACATAATATACTATATTACAGCCATTATAGATAACAATGCTGCATATATTTCATTAGATAAAATATTTAATCACACTTCATTGATTATAATATCATATTTATTGTTTATCAATACCAATATTTGTCTAATAGTCTTTTCTAAACTTTTTGAACACACTGTATAATTTTGTCAGATCTAGCACGATCGGTGGCCATGAAAGCCTGTGACTTCCCAGTGACATGGGCCGTGATCAGTTGAACTCCGAAATCCGTGAACACGAGTTCTACGATCTAGCACACGAGCCGTAGGTACTTCGCTCACGCAATGTTGGATTAAAACTACAGGTGGACACCAGCGGGCCATGAGTTTTTTGATGCCGATGCCTTTCACGTGTTGTCCTAGTTGCTCTCCTACATCGATAACCCGAATTAATTTTTTGCGCTGCCCAACACTTTATCCACAGCTGGTATCGTCTGTGGTACTAAATTTAAGTTATACATTTCAAATATGGAATTGTAGTTAAAAATGAACGTATTATCAAACATCAAGAAAATAACATTATTCGTGACTCAATAGGTTATATTGAAAGTTTTAATTTCAAAATGTATTAAGTATCAGATTTTTTAGATTTTACTTACCTACTTATAACAGGCAGGGCAAGCTGGGCAAGCAGGGACAACAAATGGGTATGTATCGTCCTCTGAGAACTGATCAAAATTAATTTTCGATAAAAAATACCTCTTTTGACTATCCAAATTATACTGCGTCATATAATCATATTTGAATTTTGTTAGTACATTTTGATATACAGTGCTGTTTATCTACTAGATATTTTTTCATTTTCCTTTGAAAACTTATATATGTTACGGGCAATGTGGAATACCGATCAATGTGTACAATGCCCGGTCAATGTGGTTCTGCCCTGCAATGTAAACCACACATTATTTTTAACTAGGTAACTAATATTATTTTTTATTATTATTACCTATTTATAGTATTCATTTTTGTTTTTAAACAATCATTATTAATTTTATTCATGTATCATAATACAATGAACTATACATTTTTTGAAACACTGTGTATAAATTTATTTTTGTTCCTTATCGTACTGCCTATTTAAAATCAAGTGTAGAAAAGCAGTCAGAGGTCAGACTACATAATTCCAAGTGTCATGCTTCTAAATCTTGTTCAAATAAATAGGTAATAATAAAATTATAATTTATTATAAAAATAAAATGATGATACTTGTTGATTTTTTTTTGTTGTTCCATCAAAATATTTGTAATATTATGGTACATGAATAAAATTAATTATGACTGTTTAAAAAAAAAAATCAATAATGATTATAAGTAATGATTATAATTTATAATAATAATAAAAAATTATATTAGTTGGTTAAAAAAAAATTTGTGGTTTACATTGTTCGGTATTCCACATTGCCTATAACATATACATGCCTTATACTTTGATCTGGGTGTAACAAATTATCTTTGCCATTTTTGTCACTTGGCTGTTTTTATTCTTGTCATATTATTATTGTATCATTACCACCAATCCGTGATCATTATGGTTAGAATTCATAAGCAATAAAAACAATAAAATATTTTTTAAATTGTATTGAATAATAAATTATTTTATGATAATAATTGATTAATATGCAATCAATTAACTAATTTATAGACGTAACAATTGTAAGACATATTATTAACTCAAAATGTTTAAACTTTTTAAAATTATTATAATATTTCATAAAATCTAAATAATATGTATGATATATATTATAAATAGGTGCTAGTATCTTCACTAACAATTGATAAGTAATAAAATCTAAGAACATGCAAAATAAACGATTGCGTTAGACAGTTAAACAAAAAGCATATTATACTGGTAAACGTCTTAATACCCATAATAGTTCAGTATTTGTTGTTATCTACATTCATTTTAAGTATGAGTTCATAGATAATTATGAAGATGATTTTTTCATAACTTAATATATATGTATTAGATAATATTTATTCAAAATTTAAAATAAAAATAAGTAAAAAAGATAATATAGATAAACGAAATTAATGTCAAGGACAAACGATGAGCGGTTAGGTATTAAACACAGATTCCAAATTTCCAACTACATGACTAGATACTTTTCGTAATGTAGGAGGATCTCCAACTAGAACTTATTCAAATATCCATTTTAGTGTTCCCTATAACCTTTATTAATATAATTTTGTTTTTGTCTATGTCGCGTTCACTTTTTGTCGTTGTTAATTTAATTAATAGAACTATTATAAGCATCAAAACATGTAAAAAATATTCATTTTGAAGTAAGTATAGGTAACCATAATAATATAATATAATGTCCTTGACTATAATCTGTAGTACAGTGTTGTGCAAGGAACCTGTAAGCTGTCTACTGTATCCGAACTTTATACGAGAACAGTTTACAAAAAAATATTTCAGTGGAGTGTTTAAGAATAGTTATATGATATGTATAGAATAAGAATCTTGTGCATGAGATTAATTTATGGCCACGGGAGTACTTAGTATGATCAATTATCATGCAATCTGATGAATCGTATTAAAATATTTTGTTCAAGATTAAACCTCAAGACTAGACGATGTGAGAGTTTCCATAGCATTATATAACATTTTATGAAATTATTATGGATTGAAAAATTACACTATTTATATTGAAATAGGCGGCCACTGTTAAATAGTAGGAGTCAGTGATAAGTAATCATTAGTTATATATTTTAACAAAAAACTTTTATTTTATGAAATGTTACCCTTATCATTTTTTTAGAAATCTTTATTGTTGAGCAATCTTGGTCATACATTGATACATTTAAGATCTTACTGACATCCTAAGGTAAATTTCTAAGGAATGTTAGATGGATTAAATACAATGACAATATAATTCCGTCAATATAACTAATGTATACGTATAAATTAAATAAAGTTAAATAATTATGTGTACTAAATCATCCTATATGCAACAATTTGTTTGGTTTGAAGCAATTCTCCATGTTTCCCTTTTGTAAATTAATTAATTTAAATAGTAATATTTATCCATGTCAATCATGATTTATTCTATATTGTTCATACTTGATCTCCTTTTTCAAAAAAGTCTTTCATGTCATCATCAAAGGCATTTAAGGTCAGTAAATGTAATAAATGTAATTTTTTTCTAGAATCTAAATTGATCTTTACTCAAAATTTCTGCTATCAGGTTTTCACGCGTTCAAAATTCTATGCAACATTTTTAAATTTCGTTCAATGCATAAGATACATTTTTCTTATCATTCCACGTGAACAAGATCTGATTACAAATAACCTTACAGAAAAACACGACGGAAAGATAAAAATAATACCAATTGAAACAGTTATTAAGATAATAAGAAATTATGTTTTGTCAACTTTAATATTATAACGTCATTTGTACACTTTCGAATATTTATACTCTAACGGCTTACAAAAAAATGTCATAGGTTTCTGTAACTATGTTTTGATACGGATTGATGGTGGAATATCATTATATATTAAGATAAATTCGATAAACTTGGAAGTGATAGGCTGCTTAGTCGCTGCGTGGTATTTACAACGACAACGAGCACTTTGGTCGATATATTGTACTCTTCTCGTTTAGGCTTGGAATAATTTCATATGAAATACAAGCCATCGCATGCCAATAACGTGTTGTTCCGGTACGACAAGTGAGACTTTCGGTGAATGTGTTGATGTTTGATTTCGGGACTCATCATTGAAAGTCACATGCAGGGTTACATCTGTCAATTTTAGTGAAACATGAGAAGTAATAAGTGTAAAACACGCACTACAACAATACAATTAAGTTGTGTTTTACTATTATTTAAATTTAATTTACAATCTGTAACAATAGGGCACAACAACGTGATACTAGAATAAAATATGTACAGATTATTTAAACATATGGTTAAATAGTTTACAAACAATTAAACACAATACCACAATACCTATACTTTCATGAAATAATTTGAGGAATTCTGAGACCCATTAGTGAAACTTTCATTTCAATATTAATTAAAAAAAGTTTTTATCAACGAATACGATTTAATAATAAATTTATATTGAAGTATTAATGGTCAATACCTTGGCATCTTATTCAAAAGCTGATTGTAAGGACTCTAATTTGAAATTTGTCACGAAATAATAGAATCTAATTATTAGTTTTAAATGCCAATTAATAACTACAGATAATGTATTTTAAAGGTGTAACTCCTACACAAAGAGAATATAGTCGTATTTCGATGACTTATGGAATTATACTTAAACTTATTATTTTAATGATTCAGTTAAATCCAGTTTAATCACAAATGTATATCGTAAGCAATACAATGTAATGGAATTTTAAATAATACTCTACTTACGGTTAGTAGTCTAAATGTTATTTAAATTGTGCGGTAAAAAAACATGTCTAGATTCTAAATTACTTACATCATGTTCGACATACAAAGTGGGCACTGGAAAATCATATTTTTGAGTGCAAAATACTAATAGGGATGAAACGAAATGAATCTTCTAGCAAGTATTAGGTATTTAGATCAGTGGACGAAAAAATACAACATTGATTCAATACTGATGAATATTGAATAAACTGTCTATAATGAATACATTATAATTATCAGTAAATAGTAAAACATACAATTTCGGGTTTATCGATAACAACATTTTATCTGAGTTATATAAATTGCAGTGTATATAAAAATTGGAAGTGAAGTGCAAAGATAATAATGTTGCTTATTACATTTTGTTATTAGTTAAATCGAATTAGTACTGAATAAGACATAGGACAATAATTAACTAATTATGATCAAATCAATAATTTTAGCAATGGACTCTTTATTGCGAGAAGAGCTGCCAAAAATTGTGAGCATTGGTGCGTTCGGGAAAAATATTAAATATGTCTCATTTGATTTGGACAAAGATCACGTAGGACAAGATCACTACATGTCCACAGTATTATTTGGTACCTTGACCACATCTGACGAATCAAAATATCATGTTGTGATCAAGCTAAAACTTCGCGATGAGAAATTGAGAGTTCAGTTCAAAATCGACATTCAATTCCAAAACGAAATTACTATGTATGACAGAGTTATACCATTCTTATTTGAATGCCATCGCTCTATGGAAGCTGAAGTTGGAGACTGTCCTACATTAGCTCGATTTTTCTTCGGTCGTAATAAATGCGGCGAATTTGCTGAAAAAGATTTAATAGTATTGGAGAACGTCACTCCTTCGGGGTTTCGATTGAGCGATGCACGACCATTTCTGGACTTTAATCACATCGTAATTGCTTTTCAAGCAGTAGCCAAGTAAGTTAACATATTAAAAATTTGAAATAAAAACTAATACAATATTGTAGGTAGGTATGTAAAAATATTGATATCTGACATGATCATTCTATATATTTTATATTTAAATATTATATTCGTTCATTATTTGACGTTTAAATGCATTGAGGTCTGCCTATAAATATTCATAGTTACCTACTTTAATCAAAGACGAGAGAATACAATTTTAAAATAGATTTAAAAAAATACGATTTAAAGCCGTGACAAAAATAGAGAATATGAATATAAATATTTGACTTACTTTTAGGTTTCATGGGTTGTCATACACTGCGAAATACAAAGACCCTGACCGCTTACAAGAATTTGTTAAGGATCTCCATGACATACAGTTTGACGAGGAAGGGAAGTGGATAATGAATAATAACGCATTAAGCAGATTCGGTAAGCGAGGAATCGACCAACTGCTTGAACGTAGCGGTGATCTTTATCGAGACAACGAGCAATTGCGAAAATTTAACGTGATCATCGGCGACGGAAACAAGTGGCTGAGACACGCACGGGTTCCCCGAGAACCGTTTTCCGTCGTGTGCCATGGCGACTTCAACCGGAACAATATGCTGTTCCGGTACGACGGGGAGGGACTTCCGGTCGATGTGTTGCTGTTTGATTTCGGGACTCCTCGTTATGGTTCGCCGGCGTTAGATCTGTCGTTTTTCTTGTACATGAACACGACGCAAAGTTTGCGTGAAAGTCGGTGGGACGACTTACTGAACGTGTACTGTTTGGCGTTAGCTGACGCTGTACCGCCCGGTGTCCGCGTGCCAAACAGGGCTGAACTGGACTTTGAAATGGCCAAATGTGCTTATTATGGATTTGCACACGCATCTTTTTTCTTAAACCATCAGTTAGAAAGGAATTTCATCGATAATGTGGATATGGACGATGAAGAAACTTTGGAGTGGTTTTTACAGCTGGGCGGCGGCAAAGGGTCGGATATAGTTGCCGACATGGTACAACACATCGTCGACATGGAATACATGAACCTGTGATTTCCGTTTGTTTTATTGTTTGGTAAAGATATAACTTTGATCAGATATTGTGTTAATATATATTTTTATTATATGTTTGCATTATTATATTGAGTTAAAGGTATTATATAACTAACAATAAATAATACATCATACATCATTTATCTTGTTTTGCAAAGTGAATTAAAATAAATTAACATAAATTTTACTGTAAATGTATTATTATATTAAAGAACACGATAAAATAGATTATAATTATTAGTTTCGACTGCCAAGAAATTACTGCAGATAATGTTATTTTAAAGGTGTATTCCAATTGGCAATTACTATGAGTATGTATATTGAACAGTGAGTAAATATTATTTACATCATAACGAAATAAAACATGAGTAGATTCTATATGAGGTACAAGCACGATTGATACACATATAATGGGCTATCAAATTTTTATGTTTTGTGGTAATATCCTTACATGAAACGAAAAACTAGATGTTTCTATCACTTATTATTCAAATCACTGGAAAAATAAAAAAACATTAATTCAATACTGATGAAGTGATGAATATCGGTTAAACCACCTATAATAATTACATAATAATTATCACACTAAATAAATAGTAAAACAGAACATTATTTTGACCATGAAATTTGAACTGAATTTAAAAATTGCAGTGCATATACAAAGCACAAAATATAAAACAACCAGTTTTGAATTGAAAATCAAAGACACTTTATTGGTTTCAAACACTGCTTGTATAGATGGTAAAACAAAAGAGTTAATAAATTATGCTCAAGGCTGAGACGGCTGAGAGGAAGAGATCGGGTCGGCCACGATTTACGTATTGGTGCGACGGTGCAGAAAATAGAGGGCTATTGGCGACCGGTGCACATCCCGAGGAGTGATCGGGCATGGTGGGGGAGTCTAGCGTATCGTGTTGTCGGTATCTCATATTGGCGGTTGGTAAATAAATGTGTAAACTGGTCGCTATCGTGATTGTGAATGTATACTAGTTATCGAAACGTCCCGCGGAAAAGTGAAGTACAAAGGTAATAATATTATAGTTCATCATATTTTGTTATTATAGCTAAAACGAATTACTACTCAACTAGAAATACAAAAATTACGTAGGCATTGTGATAAAATCAATTATTTTAAAAATGATCTCCTTATTGAGAGAAGAACTGCCAGAAATTGTGAGCATTGGTGCGTTCGGGAAAAATATCAAATATGTCTCATTCGATTTAGACAATGACCACGTCGGACTGCAGGATCAGTATATGTCCACAGTATTATTTGGTACAGTCACCACATCCGAAGAATCAAAATATCGTGTTGTGATCAAGTTAAAACTTCGAGACGAGAAAATGAGAGAAGTTCTTAAAATCGACTTTCAGTTCAAGAACGAAATTACTATGTATGAAACAATTATACCATTCCTATTTGAATGTCATCGCTCAATGGAAGCTGATATCGGGAACTGTCCTTCAGTTCCTCAATTTTTCTACGGTCGTAATAAATGCGGTGAGTTTGTTGAAAAAGATTTAATAATATTGGAAAACGTCAATCCTTTGGGGTTCCGATTGAGCGAAGAACGTCTGTTCATCGACTATGATCACCTCGTAATTGCGTTACAAGCATTGGCCAAGTGAGTAAACATAATAATATTTCGAAATAAAAGTATATTCAATGGTGTATAAAAACATTTAAGTCTGAAATGTTCAACTTACACACGAAATACGCGACAGTTTGTATTTTTTTGATTGCGCTCAAATGTACAAAATAACTTTCCGTTTACCATTTGACGTCGACGAGATTGAGGTCTGAATGTAAACAGTCCTAGTTACTTTTATTAAAAACGGAAGAGTACAATTTAAAAAAAAAACAATTTAAAGCCATGACAAATGTAATAAATTAATATAAATATTTGATTTACTTCTAGGTTTCATGGGTTGTCATACACTGCAAAATACAAAGACCCCGACCGCTTACACAAAATTGTTATGGACCTCCATGACACACAGTTTGACGAGGAAGGGCAGTGGATATTCAAGAACAACGCATTAAGTAGATTTGGTAAGCGAGGTGTTGACCGGCTGCTTGATCGTAGAGGTGACCTTTACCGCAACAACAAGCACTTTCGACGATTTAACGAGCTAATCGGCGATGGAGACAACTCGCTGCGATGTACACTCGTTCCCCGAGAACCGTTTTCCGTCGTGTGCCATGGGGACTTCAACCGCAACAATTTGTTGTTCCGGTACGACGGGGAGGGACTTCCGGTCGATGTGTTGCTCTTTGATTTCGGGACGCCTCGTTACGGTTCACCAGCGTTAGATCTGTCGTTTTTCTTGTACATGAACACGACGCAAAGTTTGCGTGAAAGTCGGTGGGACGACTTACTGAACGTGTACTGTTTGGCGTTAGCTGATGCTGTACCGCCCGGCATCCGCGTGCCAAACAGGGCCGCACTGGAAATTGAAATGACCAAGTGCGCTTATTATGGCTTTGCTCACGCATCATTTTTTTTACCCCATCAGTTGGATTTGAATATCAATGATAGAGGGGAAATGGATGATGAAGAAACTTTGGAGTGGTTCTTACAGCTGGGTGGAGATATTGGTTCAGATGTAGTGGCTGATATGATACAACACATCGTTGACATGGAATACACGAACATGTGATATGGATTTCGGTTTGTGTAATAGTTCGGTAATGATCACCGTATTCATAATTGCATGTATCTAGCTTTAGCTCGTTTTGGTTTTCATATAAACTATTCACTGTATTATACGTTTTCATTATAACAAGCCAATTTTTCTTAATTGAAATATTGAGTTATAGGTGTTATAGCATATTATCTTCCTATAAATAATAATGAATTGAATTAACATTTTTTAACAAAGTTTGAATAAAATGAAATATAAAATATATAAAATAAAATAATTGTTGTGAACAAAAATTTGTCAATTTGAATAAACCTGCTAACTATGTATTATACATTCATGTTCAAAATCCGGTTACATGTATTTCAACAAAGAATTATTTTTAACACATGTGACTGCTCGAACATATTTATCATGTTCTCGAGAGTCATGTGGCCGTCTCGAACATTTCACGGTCACCAACCACGGACCTAGACCTGAAAGCCGGAGGGCCCTGGATTTTTTTAATAACTATAATTATAAGAACTGGGATACATTTGAACCAGTAATAGGAAAGGTTACCGACTGTGAAATAATAAACATCAATTTGAGGGAGAATATATATATATATGTTTATTTAAACAAGTTTAACTTTAAGTTGGTGCCGAGAAAGCCGTAGGCATAAAACTCGGTCAAAATAAATGGTAATAATATTAATAATGCATTTTAATAATTGTAATGCCTTTTACCAATAAAATATAAACAATACTCATCACACGGTTCCGACGGAGCGGTTTACCGGCGGGAGAATAACAATAATGTACCATAATGATGAGCATAATAAGAATAATAATAAAATAGTATACCTAATAATAAGGCCCTAAAAGTACCGGCCCCGGTGAGAATAATAATAATATACAAAAAACGTTACCAACTAAATAATGTGAGTCCTGTGCCGCCCTTCGGTGCACCAGCAAAACGGCTTGCTATTCGCTCACGGTACCGGTAGCTGAGACGGGCAAAAAAGTAGTGCTGGCTTTTGCTGGTGTCGGCCAGTACTTTGCGATCTTTTGTGGCACAGAAACAGGCGAAAGGTGAGGGGGTCACACACGTGCAGATAACATGAGTGGCCGATACTCTAAGCCAAGGGTACTAGGAGGGGAGCGTGTGTCGTACGGTGGTGCAGTATTGGATCGGCGGGGACTGAGGCACGCGGGATAGTATGCCTCATCCATCTCGTCGCATGTCGCGCTCATTCTGTACCTGCTAGTGCAATATTATAATAATATTGGTTTGTGTGGGACGTCACACACAAATAATAAAAATAGATTGACCAGATAAAATATGACACGAGAACGCAGTCACCAGCTATCGTATTTTGGAGTAGCAATGTAGGTCATTTCGGTTCCAGTAAAAAATTTAAATATTGAAATCTTGAATCTCTCTCGGATAACTTCATGCCGTTAGTCGTAATCAGATTTACAATCGCAATGTTATCGAAAAAGCAAAACGTAGTGGTGTTGTTATCGCCGTTATCGCGTGCCAACAGAAACTACTATGCGCGTGTACTTAGATAGTTGGATGATAACCTTGGGTCACCGTTACAAATACATGGTCAATGTCTAAAATAATAATAACAGGTACCTACACTAAAAATACATCGAATTAGTTATCATTAATCACTGTGATTAAACCGAAACCGTTGAGGGCGGCAATGCCCAATAATTACGATTCGCCAGTCCAAACCTTGGCGATACGCACTTCAGTGCACAGTTCCGGCAGTGTCACTCCGACCACACAAACGCAAACACGACGACCACATCACTACTGTTCGTGTGACCGCGGCCCAACGCGATGACGGCGAAGGTGGACGGAACGATAGCGGATATGACCGCGGCCGGAGCGTTCGGGCCGGACAGCCGGCTCGTCTCGTTCGAACTGGAGGGGCTGCACACCGAACTGGATCAGTTCGCGTCGTTAGTGCTGTACGGCACGGCCACGGTCGACGACCGCGACGGTCGACGCCACAGCCGTCGGCTCGTGTTCAAGTTCAAGCACCTGGAGCCCGAGGTGCGGGCCTTCATCAGGAGCGACAATCAGTTCCACAACGAAATACTGTTCTACGAACGGATAGCTCCGTTCCTGTTGGCCAAAGGCTCCAAGAGGAACGGTGGCGGGACCGCGGGACCGACGCTCTGCCGTTACTTTTACGGGCGCAACAATTGCGACGAAGATGCGCACTTGGACGTGATCGTATTGGAAAACGAGACCGTTCGCGGATACCGGACGGCGGTGACCGGCCACCGGTTGTCTTTAGATTTTGACCATCTGATCGTAGCGCTCCGAACTCTGGCAAAGTGAGTGACCAAAAATATCATTTTTAAAGGTGTATACAACTAGAGTTGAACTCATTAGGTTTCGGTGGTGTACAACCATGTTTTTGGTCATAGATAAATATTTTGTTCTTAATTTTGACCACATTATTATTATACTGTCAGTACCAATGGTGTGGATCCAAATTTAACTGTACAATGTACATTGATCAAATATATCAGGGGTGGCCAACTTTGATAGACCTGCGATCGACCTCCGAGTTTTTCTAGGTGGTCGCGATCGACCAAAAAAAAAAAAAAAAGGTTGTCAATAAACAAAAAATATATTATATGTACAGGCGTGTTACACTTATTTTATTACTTTTTATTTACAATATAAATTCGCAGTTTAACACTATAACACTGCACGTATTTTAATATATTTGATTACAAATTATCAGTTTATACGAACGCGATAAAGGCCATTAATAGGAAGTAATGCGGGCTATCCATCCTATTTAATAATATGATAGTTAATAGATATCAGTGTATAATCTTGTTTTTCATAGTTATTTATTGTCTTTTTCTAAATCTAATTTTTATATTCGTGGGATATACAAAGATACACAAATTTTTCAAAAATTTAAGAAAATGCGAAAGGGTGTCGCGATCGACTTGAATTCATATCACGATCGACCGGTTGGCCACCCCTGAAATATATGGTATCTAAAATCCTGGTTCTTAGTATTTGGTACGGGGTAGAGCGGAGGTACAGCGTATGAAACTATAAAATATTCTGAATATACGTGAATACTTGCTGTTTCTTCGACCTTTTGATTCATCAGCAATTACAAACAGCCATGTAAAATGGGTATATTAAAACATCACTAGGTACACTTTTTAGTCTTAAAAATGTGACCATTTTTTAATTTATACTAACAGTATGATATTATCGAAACCCATACCACAATGATGCAACTATTTGAGTCGTATTAATAAAAATGAAAAAAATATGTCTGATATTTTATATGATGTAATAATTCGATAACAATTATGGCTACGTACTACCTACGTATTAATGATGGGGCCTAATCTATTGATGTAGTGATTAATATTCATGTTTGTTACGTAGAAATTACAGTTTTAATTACATCACGAATCAACGAATAGATATTTTCACACACATTTAATAGTTTTTAATCATTTTTGTTTTTTGTTATAATAAGACTCTATATCAACATATAGATTGTGTTGTAAATACATGCTTATAAATAAAGTGTTTAATATACTCAATGTGAGACTCCTGTAATATAATTTGTATTATCGTTACGTGACTTGTACAAACCTATAATGATTCTATGATTGTATACTATATACTAATATACTTATTAATTAGTTCCCTATAATAATCCTTTGTAATCTTTTAAAATAAACTTACATTAAAAAAACAATTATATTTATTTTATTATAATTCAGAATACTTACATAATCTTAATATATAAAATAATAACTATTATTTACTTTCTACGGCATGACTTATCAAACTACTATAACAATATTTTTTAATCAATTATTTCAGACGACTAACCATTAACCTAACCCATGAAGGCATGCGTACTTAAATATTTAAATATTTAAAACGTAGGGTGATATTTTACTATATTTTATGATGTACTATTTTTAAGATTGTTATGGAGATCAAATTAATAAATCATAAATACATGCTTAAAATTTGTTTCAATAAATATGTGTTTTTGGGCTGGGATTTTACATTGTTTTTTTCTGCCGGTTACAGTTGCCATGCAAATTGGTAATTAAACAATAACTACGATTATATCGATTCACCGATATTAGGTTTTATCGAGCAATCGTCATTCAAATATATCGATTATTTTCTTAACTAGGTATTCTGTACTTCTCATTTCAAATTATGCAACTGCAACTAAACATTAACATAATATAAATAATTAGTATTTTGCTATCAGATTTTGCGTAACAGCAGGCTGTAGATATAAACCGTATTCTTATTATAACAAGATCTTTTTTCCTCAATAATTGCGACATAAGTGATCAACAAAAACATACCTGCATAATTGTATAAGTCAATGGTTTGGCACATGTGCAGCGGAGAAAATATTATTAAGATTTTGTTTTAATTTAAACATAACATAATACGTAGATATCGTGATATGTGCGGTTTTTTTTCAATAAAATCAGATAACCATATATTATATACAAATTATTTAAAAATAAATTATTTTCCAACTTTAATTTTTGGGTGGTTTTCATTTTCAAATATTTTCACCATGAACTTATTAGATCTCTGTATACTTTTTGAAGATGACGATAATGTAATTTTCGTATGTGAAAAATTATATACTTAGATCTTATACTAGTTTTACTGTAGGATGTAAGATGTAGGATAGATTTATAATTTATATCTAGTTAAAGATATGACATATAAATCATCAAATTTTAAATTAAAAAAATTAGTTTAGCTGGAAAAAAATGTTCATTAATTGTTCGTATAATTGTATATGTGTAAAATACATTAAATTATCGTTTTTCACTATTTTTATATCTGCATACCACATACACAGTTAGAACATTTTCATGTATCACTTGACCAAATAACTGTTTTTATATTATACTTATCAAATATGTATTTGATATTTTACAAGTGTGGAATTTTATTTTATTAGAAACTATAAATTCCACTTTTCCATTTTTTTTATAAATCGAGCTTTTCTTGGCTTACCATTTATGAGCTTTCGGGTATCATTAGAAAGTAATGGTACACGTACCACAGGTTTGGAAACACTAATCTAAGTAATACGACAAGTTTATTTTTACTATCCATATACCTAAATCTATACAATGTTCACCGATTTACAATAAATAAAATATATTTTCAAGTGGTTGATAAAATACGACTATCCTGTATGATTAAAATTAAAACTTTTAGCGTAAGTCTGATTCTCCTTAAAATGTAATTTAAACTCTTAAATATTTTATCTGAAGTATAATATTGTGATAAAGGCAATATATTATATTTTCGTGTAATTGTTTTTGCTCTGATCAGAGTAAATGGAGTTTATAAGTTCATACCACATTATAGCTTCAATAAATTATATCGAACAATTCACCAATATAGTATACAATTATAACTTAATAATAATTGTAATGTAGCAATAAATAAAAAATGGACTAAATATTAGTTTTTACATTTGTATTTTCAAAGAGCATTCAATTCTATAATGTATACCTACACGTACCCGTCGCTACTATTTTGGATGGATTAATAATGTGTTAGTCAAATATCAAACACCAAATTACGAGAATACATGAGAACTTTAGTCGTATACTCCCCGACAGATTATATAATGAGTTCTTTGTACCAGATTCCTGCCTACCCATTCTAACCTGTCTCTCAAAAAAATCTTCACTGATCTGTGACTACACTGAAACGGTCGATATTTTATGTGCCTGCTTACAGATTTCACGGGCTTTCCTACAGGGCAAAACACGAGGACTTGGCGAAGTTCAAAGAGGTGATTGCCGATGTGAAAGATACGCAATGGACCGAAAGCGGTGAGTGGACATTCCAGCCAAGCATACTCCAGGGACTGTTTTCGGTGGCCATAGACAGACTTAAAGAACGTCACGTCGAGCGCGGCGGCTGCCGGGACGACGAAGTCGAGTGGATTAGCAGGTTCCGGTCGGATCTGTTGGCCGACGCGATGCAATCGTTGAGGCGCGTGACCACGGCCGTCGAACCGACGGCCGTTCTGTGCCACGGCGACTTCAACCGGAACAACCTGCTGTTCCGGTACGACGACGGTGGCCGGCCGGTGGACGCGCTGGCGTACGACATGGCCACCGCGCGGTACGGGTCACCGGCCCTGGACCTGTCGTTCTTCCTGTACATGAACACGGACCAACGGATCCGGGACGATCACTGGGACGCGTTGCTGGACGAGTACTGCGCCACGTTGGCCGCGGAAGCCGGTGCAGACGTTCCTGTGCCGCACCGCGATCAGCTGGACTCCGAAATACGCGAATACGGGTTCTACGGTCTGGTGCACGTGTCGTACTTCGCACGTGTAATGTTGGAGGAAACCGTACAGGTGGATTCCGAAGAGTACTATGGAGCCGATGAATTCAAATTGTTGAGCTTGTTTCTCTCGAGCGGTGGAGACCGGGCCACCGATTGGGTCGCCGACGTCCTTCAACATTTCATCCGCTGCAAGTACGCCGGGACATCCGCCGCCAACAAAAAAGGCATATGTCGGTCGAAATAAAATTATTAGGATCAATATTGTGATAACCGTACTATTGCGAATCGACGTCCCGAAAAACTTGTTTGCTTTTTTTATTTTTACTATTGGTTTGTCGAGAAAAATCCTCAAAATATTGCACCCACAGGTTGTTAAACCGAATTATATTCGACTGTAAATTCAACTTTTTGATCTGGTCACAAACGATTCCGGAAAGCTCGTCGTCGTCATGAAAGTTTAACGACATTAAAGGATTCCGCTTTTCGTTTTGTGCGTGTTCACTTGTATGTACACTCAGTGTTCACGGTTAGAAGAGTACCTACGCTACTCACGCAATCGTTTCCTTTGTTTTCCACACGCATATTATACGAAATTTAAATTCCACAATTTCAGTAAGGCATTGGCGATTAAAAAATGTACCTTAATCATAAAATATTAAGACGTTAACATTAGCCTTGTTCTATCATCGGTTTTAATCGATGCTTGTTCCGAATTTTTAATTTTTCGATTGGCCTGGCTACGTATGTAAAGCAGGGACAATAAATGTATAGAAGGCACTTATTATTCGATCAAAAATACCTTCCCCGATTATCTCCATTATATTTTATAGGCTCTTTTATATTTTAATTATATTTGTAAATTTCCAATTTGCAAGATAATTTTTTGTTATAAACCTGAGTAGGTACTGAATCTAATTAATTTTTTAATATTTAAATCAAAAAAATGTTTTGTTATTTAATAGTGTAAGTTTAACGAGACATTTTTGTTAAAAATATGTTAAAATGTAATAATAGTCAGTAATTTTATATATGCCTTAGTGTAGATAATATAAGTCTATTTTCTAAACACAAATAAACTCGTATCATGGTTGATGGCGTGACAAAAGCAAACCAGGATTACGCAATATCTAAATTATCGTTTACAATATTCACACCATACACTTAAATATGTATAAAATATTTAAGCTGTGGATATTTTCTTTAAAAACATCAAGAAACAGTCTCCGCAACTTTTAGATTTTAAGGAACTTTCTATAGGCAACTATTTCGGCCTCAATCGAGTCGTTTTAATTAAGAGGGCGCCACACCCGCATGCGTTGTCTCCGTCTTACAAACGAGTAACATACCAAATTTACGCTCAGCAGTTCAAGTTATATGCCGTTAGCATAAAAATTAGAGTGAATTAACCTATTATGAAACTTGATGGTGAGAACTTTATCTGTGTTTTGTTGGAAGTTTTTTTACAATAATTCAGTTTTTAAGTGAGTTATGAGCATTTTTAATTTACATTTATTATACAAGCATACCTCGCTTAAAAACTGAAGTATCGTAAAAAAAGCTTCCAACAAAACACGGATAAAGTTCTTACCATCAAGTTTCATAATAGGTTAATTCACTCTAATTTATAAGCTAACGGCATAAAACTTGAACTGCTGAGCGTAAATTTGGTATGTTACTCGTTTGTAAGACGGAGACAACGCATGCGGGTGTGGCGCCCTCTTAACGCCTAACTAAGAAAAAGATAACAGTCCATAATAATATGAATAACAAAATGTGGTTAGCTAAGATTTAACAAAATAATTCATTTCATATTTAATTATAAATTATAATAATTATTTTTATTTATTAGGTATATCTAGTTAATTTTATTTCTTAAAGTTTGTTTACAACATTAGAATAATAATAAATTGTGATTTTGTATATGTCACATTCACTTGATAAAATCGTGTATATTACAATGAATTATACATAGATTACCTAGCTAATTCCATAGTGCTCCTCGTCCTAATTGTTAGGATTCATTCCAATAATATACTTTGAAATATGTGTGTTTCATCTAATATAGTAATAATATACTGTTGATTATAACTGTTGAGTGGATATTAGGTAATTAACAAATTTGTATACGTCATTGTTGTAACATATTATTGATTATTAAAATATCTATGATTTATAACATTTTAAATTATAATATAGTATACCAAAAAATTTGAATAATGTTTTGGTATAATATAATAGTATATACTATATATTATAGTTTATAACTACTGGAAACAAATATATATTATAATATAATTATAATAAGGTTTATTAAAATAAAAGATAATTGATGCACATTTTATGTTATATGAATAACACTAAAGTACAAAGTAAGTAAACAAGTATAAGTACCACAAATCATGTGGTAAATACATAATAGATTAGTATTACTATATTAGGAATGTATTAAATGTTAAACGTGCAAGAAATAAAAGGATTTGCAAAAAAATGTTATATAGTGGTAGTAATTCGATAATAATTTATTTAATTCAGTTCTATAATAGTCGTTATTTAGTGCAAATGCGATTTGTAGACGCAGAGTTAGCGCAGAGCTCATAATGTGAATTACTAACAAACTTGATAAAATGTTGTTATGTTAATAGATTAACCTAAATTACTAAAAATGTAATATTAATAAAAATCAAAATGAATAAGAAATAGTCTTTATTAAATAAAAAGTCGAATTTAATAAAAACATTTAATAAAAATTCTCAATTAATAAAAAAATATAATACTTATAAGTAGCGCAAATTAATAATACATCTAAAATTAACAAAGAATATTCTTAATCAAACAAAAAGCCTAAAATATTAAAAAATATAATACTAATAACAGGAGCTGCACCTCATTTTATAAATGACTAACGATGTGTTATGAGATCATCATCATTAAATATAGCGGAAAATATTTAGTTACAATAATAAAATCATAGAAAACAATTAAATGTAGTTGATACTCTTTAATTTTGCTATGAGCATAATATCTATTATTTACACTGTGATGTATTAGGTAAAACTTGAACAGACACTGTATAAAAATCATCATTAATATTGTACAGAGTGGGACACCATATTTTATAGTTTTGTGGTGTTATCCTAATGCACATAAAAATTATAAAATCCAATGTCTCCCCGATAATTTACTATTCAGAATTGTTTTGTAATTAATAGAATATCATTATTTCATACTAAAAAATACAGTTTAAAATTGATAAAATTAAAATATTTTAATATCACATTTAGTAAATATCAAATCATTTTTTCAAAACTGAAATCTGGTGATTACGGTAACATCAATTACGGTGTATACACTATACTTGAATTGCAAATGAAGTGTTAGATAATAACATGTATTAGATAATATCTAATTGCAGGATACTATAGCTAAAATTAATTAGTATCTACTCAACTGCAAGAGAACTAAGGAAGTTGAGCACACGTGAAAAAATCAATCGTGATAACAATGGAGTCATTATTGCAAGAAGAACTGCCAGAAATTGTGAGCAACGGTGCGTTCGGAAAAAATCTCAAATATGTTTCATTCGAATTAAACAAAAATCAAGTCGGGCAAGATCAATACATGTCAACGGTATTATTTGGTACAGTGACCACATCTGATGAATCAAAATATCATGTTGTGATCAAGTTAAAACTTCGTGATGAGAAAATGAGAGTTCACTTTAAAATCGACATTCAATTTCAAAACGAAATTGCTATGTATGACAGAGTTATACCATTCTTATTTGAATGCCATCGCTCTATAAAAGGTGAAGTCTCGGACTGTCCCATATTACCTCGATTTTTCTTCGGTCGTAATAAATGCGGCGAATTTGCTGAAAAAGATTTAATAATATTGGAGAACGTTGCTCCTTTGGGATTCAAATTGAGCAAAGAGCGTCTGTTTATAGACTACGATCACTTCGTAATTGCGTTACAAGCATTGGCCAGGTAAGTTAACATAAAAATACTTTGAAATAAAAACAAATTAAATGCGGTAGGTATCTATGTAAGAATGTTAACTTCATTTACGAAATATGAGACAGTTATTTTTACATTTTTTAAATTAAAATCAATTTATAATATAACTTTTCGTTTATTATGTAACATGCATGAGTCTGACTATTATCAAGTTAAGGCACGTCAATAAAGAACGGAAGAATTCGATTTTGAAATAACTCGAAAATCAATACGATTTAATTCCATGGCAAATATAGTATAATAATAATAATTTGATTTACATTTAGGTTTCATGGGTTGTCATACATAGCGAAACACAAAGACCCCGACCACTTACGAAAAATTGTCATGGAGATTCGTGACACACAATTTGACAAGGATGGACAGTGGATATTAAAAGACAACTTGTTGAGTAAATTTGGTAAGAGAGGTGCCGACCGCCTGCTTGATCGTAGCGGTGACCTTTACCGGGAAAACGAACATTTTCGACGGTTTAACGAGCTCACCGAAGACTCGAATAACTCGATTAGACGTGCACTGGTTCCCCGAGAACCGTTTTCCGTCGTGTGCCACGGGGACTTCAACCGGAATAATGTGTTGTTCCGTTACGAGGAGGAACTTCCGGTCGATGTGTTGCTGTTTGATTTCGGGACGCCTCGTTACGGTTCGCCAGCGTTAGATCTGTCGTTTTTCTTGTACATGAACACGACTCAAAGTTTGCGTGAAAGTCGGTGGGACGACTTACTGAACGTGTACTGCTCGACGTTGGCAGAATTCGTACCGTCCGGTATCCGCGTGCCAAACAGGGATGAACTGGACTCCGAAATGGCCACCTGTGCCTTATTTGGACTCTCGCATGCGTTGTTTTTCTTACCCCATCAGTTAGATGCTGATAGCACCTTAAACTCAGAAATTGATGAAGATGAACAAATACGGATCTTATTGAATAAGGGCGGTGACGCTGGAACAGATCTCGTGGCTGACCTAGTCCAACACATTGTCGACATGAAATTCACGAACGTGTGACTTGGATTTTTGGTTGCTCATTATTATTCGGTGAATTTTATGTTTCCGCGATGTTCAGTTAAAGCATTTAATAAGTATAATATTTCTATGATTATTTATGTTGTATTTAATATTTTAATTAAGGCCATTAATCTTCGTGTTGACGTAAGTAAATAGATATAAAATATAAATACATGGCATACGACTTTGAGTTATTAATATAATCTGGGATAATCGAATAATTGTCGGAGACCACAGAACAGCTATAATTTTACCATTGTAATAAAACGGTGTCGACTCTAGCGAAGTACCTCTTATCTCGGGGTCTTAGTAGGAGTACGTATGTAAATAATACAGTTTTGTGATTGTTTTATTTAAAATAAAATGTTATTTCCGCCTATATTAATCGTGAACCGATTGATTTTTTGTAGTTACAATACCTTGCTTCATGTTCACATAGGATCTGAAAACGATTAACTTACTATTGGTCGTGTTGAGGATCAAAGACAAATTTAGTGAGGAAATATTATCTCTTAAAAATGTATGTATTAAAAATACTTTAACCTATAGTATTATAAAACAAACGTTTTAAGCAACGCCTTAATTAGTTTATTATATATTCATAATCGATTTTGACATATTTGCGATATTCTATTCTAATCTGACATCGAACGTGGTAGAACGGAGTCTATTTTTTGATATTGTATATTATACGTAATACCTATATAATATTATACTGCCTAGTGACTGGATTACCTCCTCGTTTTGTTATTTCAAAGTTAGTTTTATGGTAGGGTACCGATTAGTTATGACTCATAACTTATGAGATAATAATTTAATATAGTGGATTAAATCTCATAGAATTATAAACCTATGATAGATAATGACACGCAGTTGGTTTATTTAAATTCGAATATACCCGAATGAGTATTATTTACACTATTTTGTACTAAAACATGAATAGAGACAGTATACAGGGGGTTGTCGATGACCGATTACACATCCATCCTTTATAGATTTATAGTTTTATCCCTATTGATTTTGAGAAATGAGTGACCACCCTATGATATTCAAAAATAACTGAATATAACATTACTGAATATCGATTACAATCGGTTAGAGTTAATAAATGTATGCTTATCACACTTCTTACTGAAAAATAAAACAGTATTTTGCCACTGATCTCTGGTTATTTAAGTAATGTCGATTAAAGAGTTGAAATGTATACACTATACATACATTTCAAATGAAGTGTTAAAATAATAGATAGTTAAATCAACGTGTGATGTATAAACATACTATTATTGACTGAAATTTATTGTCTATTAATTAACTGTATGTGAACTAACAAAGTTGAACTTATGTAAACAAATCAATATCATTGTATCAATGAAGATTTTGTATTAGGAAAACATTCAATATTATGAGCAGTTGAACATTCTAGAATAACCTAAAATATGTCACATTTCAATTGAACAAAGATCGCATTGGACAGGATCAATTAAGATCAAAATGGTGTTATTTTGTACCACGATAACCTACAACAACAAAAACTAATCGGAATATCATGTTGTAACCAAGTTTAAACTCCAAGGTAAGAAGCTGAGAGTTACGTTTGAAATCGACCTTTATTTCCACCACGATGTAACTATTTAAATATCTATAGAAATAACCAACGGCATGTCCCACCAGTTCCCTTTTTGTCAATATCTAGATCGGCATTTACATGAATTATGAAGAATAGTTCGACTCTTTGCAAGATACTCCTTCATGTTTAACATATTTAATATTAATGTTACATTAAAGGCTCTTGAAATACAACTTTCTATTTATTTAATAGTTTAAACTAACATTTTAGAATTTTTTTTTTTTGCAAAAATGTAACTAACCACTGCCTCGTATGGCTTACTTTTGAAGAAATTCTCTTAGAAACCCCTTTGCTGGAAAACTCAAAAACATTTAAAGTATTTACTACCGTTATAAAGGTGTTAAAATACGGTATTTTTTTTTTTTAAACCTGTTTCACCATGGCGTACGTGTTATACTACACAGATATAGAAGTTATATTTCAAACACTTTATAGAATTAATAATAAATAATACAGCAACAATCAAAAAACGTATATGATACACATTTTTCTAGATATTATTTAACGCGTAATCAAGAACCCATTATAGTACTATTATTAGATACATATGTTTTTGGTGCTGTGAATCCACAAAATTTGATTAAGAGTAATTTTTAAACATTTTACTCGTACAATTTAATATATTTTATACGATTATTTAGACTCGTTATTTATAGGACATTCCGTTATTTGGTGACAGTGGAACAGAACACGTACTCACTTCTTGTCTTAGCATTCCGCCAACATGTGATATGCGAATGTTGAGCGTATCTGATCAAAACGTTAAACGATACAATAAAATCACATTATAGTTTGATGTTCACACTTACATGTCATTTTAGTTTATTCATATATTATGTACCCTACTTCAAATGATTTTTAAAAGTTTTTTTAATAATAATAATAATAATAATAATAAAATACGTAATATCCATTGTTTGGGATATCCATATGAATAATATATTATACGCATCTGATTTGTACAATACTGAACAAATATGAATATTTATTCTATTTCATTGAACACTGGTGATTGATGAAGTAGCTTATTAGTAGCATTTCTTTAATACATTTTACTATTTATTTTTATAACTACACATGTATAATACTACAACTAAGTGAGTTATATCTTATCTTTAAGTACTTGTTTAGTTATAATAGATATGTATTCAATCATTTAACTAAAATAATAAAATACTTTAATAAAATAAAATAAAAATAAATTTGGTTTCCATGATATTTTAAAATAAAGTATGAACTTTTATTATTTTATGTCAGTCACCTTCCATATTGTACCTACATAGAATATTGTTTTATTACATTTTGGTAACATCATAAATAGGTATTTTATCAGTGATAAATTTGTCTTAAGAACATTTCAGCCTATAGTTGTTAGAGGCTATTATAAAAAAATGCATAGTGGCCATAAATTGTATACAATATAAGTAAATATGTAGATAATTATGTTATGTTCTATAACAAGTTTAAAATATACAATTCACGTACAAAAGTTAAGTTAAACCGTTGGTTTTTTTTAACAAAAAACCTATGTTTAATTTAGGTACTCAAATAACAATAGTTTATTCATCATTTAACAAGTTAATGGTTTCATCATTTATCAAAAACTTGAGAATATGGAAGACCTTGGACAATGAACAATAACATATAGATCATTAAAATATAATTTTTGTATTATCTGTTATTGACTTATTGTATTTTTCACGATAAAGTAAAATGTAAATACATAAGAATAAATTATTTTCAACTTAAATAAATTATGTATTATTTAAAAATAGCATTAATTTTTCTCAGTTTCAGCAATTATTATTATAATTTAACTTTTTTTCTTTCATTATTCAGTACATAATTGTTTGTAATAACAACATAACATATTAAAACGTGCAAGTACGATTAAAAAATTGAAACGTTTAAATTGTATAACATTGGATGTATAATGAATTTTAATTTTTAAACTAATTTTCACGTCATATAAAATACCTGAGTCTTACAGTGTTTTATATAGTAGAATTATATTTAATTTAATAAAACACAAATGTTTTATTATAAAGGAAAAGTACATAGCTTTTTAGTAATAAATATTGTACTATTATAGTATATGTACCTAAACCTATGACATATGAATAGTGATGTCAAACTATGTGTATTATTGTATAAATTAAAATACCACCAATTATAAAATTAATAGCTTTCAGTCGACAGTTGAACAAAATAATAATAATAATAATAATAATATTCTTATCGTATCATTAATATTTCACGCAGGTACTTGACAACTGATATACGTTCTAATTTAAAAGTAATCGACTAAAAGTGGTAATAAAAAAAAAAAAACAAAACAAAACAAAAATGTTCGTTACATATATTTTTTTAATGATTCGAACTATTCGACGAAAAATTCAGATTTGACCCATTGTGTCCCATTCCCCGTCGCTATGTGAGAGATGGTTTCATAACTAAACGATTCATCTGGAATACTGGGCCATTCATTATAACATTTTTTGGAGTAGCTTTTTAGGCACGAACCAGAAGTGACAGATCATAATCCCAGGTGAAACTGGCGCTTGATCTAAGGTTGTTATTTCCAAATAAAAAAAACCGCATTAACGAAGCCTTTGCATTACGGTTATTTTCTGCAGAGCACTCGAACATGGTTAGAGGTTAAACTAATCTGGCACGCTAAACACACGGCCAACAGCACATTTTTTATGGCCCTTGGATAGCAAATATTATTGAACAATTAATTGAAAAAAAAATCAATAAAAACAATTATAGTTATAATTTGTTTTTCGTGTTACAATTATGTTAGCGAGTGGTATACCACGTCATTACGTTACTTGTTTGTCTTATCTTCTGATAAACTGTAATTGAATAAGTGGGTATTGTATAGTATTGTCAGTAGAATGACTAAAATCAAAAACGTGTGGAAAATGTTCTGTGGTCGATAAATGTTCGTGTGCAGCCCGCAAAATAATAACTATTTTTAATGTTTGACCCAGTTATAATATACTTTGATTTCATATATGCTTGGGCTAGACATTGTGTACAACACGTCAAAGTCGTCACCTCAGTCTCAGCCAGACCGTATCAATACAGCGGAATTATCGAGTACGGTGCACTGCCGGAGCAGCACCGAGTGGTGTGGACAGTCGTAGGAGACAAATTAACGCGATCGGGCGACGGCGGCGTTGTTATCACGAGTGGTAAACATTCGACGCTATCTGTGCTGCCAGGACGAATGAGCGGCGAGGAAATAATAATAATAATAATAATAATAATAATAATAATAAAAGATAATGAATTAAATGCGCCGACACTTCGCTCGTTATCGCGGTCGAGTGGCGGTGTCGCGCAATCGACGGACATCGCTCGACGACGCAGGACGAACGCGCGACACATTCACGCGGATCTCAGTGCGGAGGATCTTACGCGATGAACACGAGTCGGGAATCGCTCAAGCAGTGGCTGTCGGACGTGCTGACGGCCGACGGCGTGTACGGCGCCACCGCCGACCGACCCGCCTCGTTCGACCCGGACAGGGATCCACGGCACGCGTCCAGGCCCAAGCAGACGCAGCGGCTGTCGTCAGTGGTGGCGTCCGGGCGGCTGACCGTGCCGGCCAGTGGTTCGCGCGCCGCCACGGACACTCGGCTGACCGTCAAGCTCAAGCCGCCCGTGGAACTGCTGCGTACCGTGCTCAAGTCGGACCGACAGTTCCACAACGAGATGCACGCGTACCAGAACGTGGTGCCGTTCCTGTTAGAACACCTGCCGGACGGGGCCCGCGGGCCCTCGCTGCCCGTGTTCGTGTACGGCCGCAACGAGTGCGGCGCCAGGTGGCCGGAGGACGTCATCGTGCTGGAAGACCCGCGCGGCCACGGCTACGTGCCCGCGCGCAGCCCGGAACACGGCGGCGGCGTCGGCAGCGCGCACATGGACTACGGCCACCTGGTCGTGGCCATCGCCGCGCTCGGCCGGTTCCACGGCATGTCGTTCACCGCCAAGCAGAAGAACCCCGTTGCGTTCCGCAAGCTGGTGGGCAACCTGCGCGAGATCCAGTGGGACGAGGACGGCTGGCTGGTCAAGGGCAACGGGCTCAAGTCGATGAGCATGCGCGGCGCCCGGCCACTGATGGATCAGGACAAGTACCGGGACGGCAAGCTCAAAGGGTTCCTGACCATGATCCGGGAGGCCGACCGCAACCTCAAGCTGGCGATGACGCCCAAGGAACCGTTCGCGGTCATATGCCACGGCGACTACTGCAAGCCCAACATACTGTTCGAGTACGACGAAGCCGGACAGCCAAGGGACGCCATGATCACCGAGTTCACAGCCGTCAGGTAACCATATTGGTTGTACCCAACTGTTGTTATTCCGCAATATCAATGTCTCCGAAAGTTGAAGCTTTTTGACTTTAGCGGAAGTAACGACTCGCGTGACTCGATCAAAAACACTTGTCGGCTACCCATACCTATGATTACCCCCTCGACCCAGTCACCCCGTCTTCGTATCGTTATTTTAGGGTTAGGGTTGCTTTCGATCGGGATTAACGGATTTCCTACGCAGGTATCCATGTCGAACAGCAAGAATCGTATATGAAATATTTTTATATAATGCTCTGTTATTATTTTCTGTGAGTTTTCTCATGAAACTATTGCGTTTTATTTTGTTTCGTACAGTAAACACACTCAACCAGATATTATTGCCATTATTTTATTTCAATTATTATGCGATAGCGGATTAATAATCGCAGGTCGTTGTGACAGAAAATTGTGTTTTCATCGCGGTCGACGAAATAATAAATTATTCGTTGTAATAATCTCAAAAATCTTAATTGAAATTCTCTACAAATATGTATCCACATCAGTCAATGCCCACTAGAATGTACGCTGAATGTAATAATATTTTAAGTATAAAGTTTTTTTTTTTTTATTAATAGTACAGTGCCGACCGATAGCGCGTCTTAAGTCGAATGACTTCAAGCTTGATTACTCTCGAGCGTGTAATATACAACTGCCAGTATAATCAATTTGGTTTAAATTTTTTTTATAGTATTACCGAAACTTATTTATATGGTAATACAATATTGTGCATATAGACACAAAACACTGGAGGGGGGAAGGAGTAGCGATAGAAATAGAGAATTTTTCCAACGGATAAGCCTGCACAGATTTACATATAGGCATATCAAAAAGAAAAAGGATAAAAAAAACGTTTTAAGCCCGATGCAAATCGTATTTCATATAACTTAATCAACCCGGTTATTTTGTTTCGTCACACAATGGCACAACTAAAAAAGCTTATTAAATTCAAATACAACAGAGGCCGATTTTTCTCTCTCTGAAATTAGACGGGGTTTCACTCTCTTTTTTTTTTTTTTTTTAATTACATGTTTTTAACAAAACATTGAACTTAATGTTAAAACAATTATACTCGTACACACGTCAATCATGTTTTATAAACGAGTTATGCTGTTCATTTACATAATACTAATACCACACGCACAATAATAAAATAACCATCAACTAATTATAATACGATTCGGTATACTGATATTTGAAATTACACTATTCACGATAAAATTTAATTGTTACGATTAACTAATAAAATGTTGCCTTTATATATTATGTTTAAATATTATTGATTATTGCAGCTGGTTAATAATAATACGTTTAATGGACGATGATGAGAAATTAATTTAGTATAGACGTATAGTAAATATATTACTGGACATTTTACATGCATCGTGTAATCGTGTGTGGTAATAATTGAATTTTTGTGCAGCTATTTAAATTTAATTTACATATTGTATTACATTGATAATAGTGTTGTGGTATTATCAAATCGGTCATTTGAAACTTTTGTAATAACATTTTTAGGAATGCGTAACGTAATGTCAAAGTAAATAATTCAGATAGTTTTATCATAACAACTGAATTTTTGAACTTGAATTAAGATAAATATTATGTTATGTAGTAGAAATAAGTCCACATCTAACAAACCGTTTCATTACGCATCAACTCTACACTGATTTTATGAACAAAGATTAAAAAATATCTACGACATTTTTGGTCGCAAGAAGTATGTCTAACCACGTATTTTGCATTTACCGACGAAAACGCCATTATTTATCTAAAACGATGAATCATTTGTTTGTATAAATATTTTTTTGTTATTAACAACAATATTGTTTGCCCAAACAAATTCACAATAATAACAAATACGAATAAAAAACACACGCCCTTACGTATTCCATACGGTCTAATAATTCCCAAGATCATCGGTTCACCTTCACACAATCGATAAATCGAGTTCGCCTTTGTACGAAGAAAAAAAAAAAAAAAAACGTAGGCATAAACGTTAGCGACAGAACATTAATCAGCTCCGCCCTTGAATTTGTCCACCGTTCCCCGAATATTTTTGATGGACTATTATACTGTAATAATATGTACCTATATAAAAAAACATATGTTACGGATGTAACCCGAAACACCCTCCGAATGTGAAGAAAAGATAAGACGTCCGAGGCGTTAAATCGTGTACAACGTTTATTCAATAAATCAATTTTCACAGTGCGAATTGGCGCGGGACTGTGCCAAAAAACATACAAGAACATAATAACAATAATAATATATCGTACAAAGATATTCACACCCCGGGCTTACAGTTTGATTTTTTATTGTACTATGTTGTGAGTTATAGTCTTTGAGCTCCGTGGGGGTTAGAGATATTGTTATAATAATATCCCTTTTTACTGATAAAAGAAACGCAGCTCCCTTCTCCGTAGACACGGTGACATTTCTTCAGATATAATTTTGTATATTAAGGATATTTGAATTTATTTAAATATTAAAAATTACTACCTACCTACTATATAATATGTGTTTTTTTTTAATTTAAATGTCAGAAACAGCAACTACTTGCATTCATATAACTATAACTGCATCTAGGTACGGACTTAAGTAAATAGAATAAGTACATCAATAAATAATATTATATGTATGCCATTCAGAGCACCGCCGACGATTGACTTCGCTCCCAAGTAATTTATATAACTTAAAGTTGACATTAATCTCATCACATATTATGCTTATTGTACATATTTTGTTCTATTTGTGAACAATTTCCATTTCTTTATTGTGTATAGGTACCTGTATTTTGAACAATAACATAATGAACAAAACATTTCTCGAAGTTCTTCAATTGGTTGTAAAACTTTAAATACGATGACACAAATAAGTAATAAAACATATTGCGGATGTTTTTTGTTACAATGTAAATTTAATTTCAGTTAGTTATATTATTATTATCTATGCTGTAGTTAAAAATAGTAATAAATATGTGTTAACTATTCGAGTATCTATGTAATAACAGCTACATTACGATACAGAAGTCTTCAATCTTGTATAAGTACCTAAACTATTAGTTTCTATAAAATATGATTAACGCAATATTAATTTCATTTGTAAGCATACAGTATTGTAATCGTTAGAAAAAGTCAACTTAATTTAGGATATTTTTAAGTACCATTTACTATAGTATTTTTAAAAGCATAAACTCGAACAATTAAGTACTACAATAATGACCATTATTATGACTTTTTTATTTGATGATGAAAATCATAAAAAGGGTTACTATATTGTTTTTTTATGTGCGTATTATGATAACCATCAATTTATGCTGATGTTTATGACGGTCGGATGGGCACATTAAAAATTACGATTTTGTGGTGAATTTTATTAACGCAAAAATCAAATTACTATTTTATTTGTTTCTAAATGACACATATTAGTATAAAACTATTTATATGATGGTTATATTATAGGTATACTAAAATTAATCGAAATAAAATTGCAAAACAAATTATTCGTTTTTTGTGAAAACGATAAGGTATTACAATAAATTAAAAACCAACACTAATACTAAAGATTAGAGTGAATAGTATTTAGAAATTATTTTAGGTGTTGACACTGAGTAAAGTAAAAAACTAAAGAGTAGGAATAAGTTTTAATTGGTATTGTGTTTTTGTTGAAACAAATAACCGTAGAGAAAATACAAGTTGAATACAAGGTTTCTCATCAATTAGTATCTTATTTAAAAAATCGAAAATACTTAGACACGGTTTTTTTTTTTTAGCAGCATTTGAAGTTCAAATTTTTACAAGATTGAATATTAAACGAAAAATAACATTTTTTCCCCAAATGGTTTTGATTATTTTATTTTAAATTAAAAAAATATTTTTCGTAGACAGTTGAAACTTTTTGCCATTAAGTATATTATTATTTTCTGCACATAAAAAATCATTTCAATCTGCTGAATTAAAAAAATACTAATATTTAGGGCTCTATAGTTATATATCGCACTAAGACATTACAAAATACTCATCATAATAATTCCGATACTTATAGATGCTCTAGTATTATTAAGTGATGCAAAATTGTCTTGTCCCTCCTCGAACGTTCACCATTTCCATTCCTTATCTATTCTCATGCACATTGCCAAAACACAATCCTCTGTATCGGAAAATAGTTGACCAACATTTCTCATTAATTGATATATTATCATTTATTAATGTTACTTTTATAAGTGTTATTATATTATAAATATTATCATAGCATTTCAATACCCTTTTCTCACCTTTTTTTTATTGTTATTTTTACAAATAATTCAATTTGCTGAATCTTAGTTAGTCTATTTAGTTTTAAAATATTTTGAATAGGGTTTTAACTGTATACAATATAAATAGGTACATAATATTATTTATACGCTGAAAACATGCTCTAAAAAATTCTAATATAAAAATGAAACCTGCACTTCGGTTAGGTTACATCTGAGTGCCACTTCTATTTGTACAATTTTAAATGGACAGTACATATATTTATTCCGATTAAAGAACTAAATAATAATATGTCTTCTTTGTATATAATTACTTCATGCAGAAGAACCATTGGATATTTCTCCCGGCTTAAGATTTCCAGCCGACTATACCTACCATTAATTTGTTTTAATAGAAATGTAAAGAGATTAAGATACTTGATTATATTTTATTCTATTAGAAACGTTATTTGTGTAGAACATTTTTTGACTCGATCCGTATGCATTATATATCGTACCTTTTTGCGTGGCTTATATTATGAAGAGCACGGCTTCTCGAAAGTAGTCGGTAAGTCAGGGTGGCTGAAGAGCGGCAAGGAGGCATTAAAATCTTAAGTCCGGCGTTGATGACGCTACATGACTTACGAACAGAGCTAATGCGTTTTATAATGGAAAACCGTAATTTTTTCCTCTAAAACCGGGAGCAAGGCTTTGGCGGAATTATAGAGGGGAGACAAAACAAAACCAAACCAAACATGAACTATATTGTATCTTGACATTTTTATAATAAGCGTACCGCCTTAACGGGGGTTATAATTTCGCAGTGTAATACTCTAGTAAATAATTATTACGATGGATATATTTTTAATTCGGTTTTTAAAAATTCAACAGGTACGGTTCGCCCGGGCTAGACTTGTCCTACTTCCTGTACAAGAACGCGGACAAAGACGTGCAGGACAACCGGTGGGAAGACCTGTTGGCCGTGTACTTGGAATCGGTGGCGGCCGTGCTGCCGGCAGACGTCAAGGCGCCCACCGTGGAGCAGCTGCACCACGAGCTCAGGTTCCACGCGCTATATGGCTACGCGCACCTGTTGTTCGCCGTGCCGAACATGATCAACGACAACCCACGTGGGCTGTTGGAAATCGACAACGACGACGACAAGACGACCGTCGAAGACCTGCTGGTCGCCCGGATCGACGCGGCCGACGAGAAGATCACCGAAATCCTTTCCGGAACCGTCCGGCACATCATCGACCACGGTTACGCGGAGCAATACGAGTTCTCCAGCAATTCCCGTCTGTAGGACGAAATTCCCAGCCGAGCGTGGAGTTTCGTCACTCAGCCTATCCGAGTCTGTTTCGACGTTATGTATATTATTTTGTTGTTATTATTAAGGCTATGCATTTTTAGCGACGTGTATTTTTTTTTTTTTGTCAACCAAAACGTAACTTTCTCGACCGAAAGTTCGAGTAATATAACGACGAATTCAATTTTGAAAGATTCATTTTGATTCATTTGATTTTTAGGTCATTGTTTTCTTTTGTTCATTGCATCATTTCATGATGATATTTTGCATACATTTCTGTCAATTAACTTGTTTTATGCTCACATATTATAAATTATTTTATAATTTACGTGGGCCCCACTTATATTAATTATATATATGGCTGAATAATGATTATCTATAAAAATTAATTTGTTTTTAGTTTTTGGCGAAACAAAGCTTTCTTAACACAAACTTTGAAACGATGAATTTAATTTTTTAACCTTAATCTCTATTTTTTGTTTCTATTTATAGTATTATATAATAAGTCATTTTCTTTCTTTTTTATTGCACTCCAATATGCAGTTTTAGAGATTTTAATTGTATTTAATAAATATTTATAATGCATTCACAGCCCTAATTGTTATTGTTTTATCAGTTCGGTGCAATATTTTCTTGGCACGAAATCGTTTTCTTTTGTTTTCGTTACATTTAATCCACAAAATACGTTTCGCCTCCGTCTACATAATATTATCACCTTCTCAGACCGTTCGATGTAAACTTACCGATGCGTTAATTATTCAGCTTTAGCCGGAGCTTTCACAAAATTATCGTCACGTCCCAGTCGGTCGGTACCTACGTATTAGACGATGGCAACGGAGTAGTTTCTTCTAGACCGTAAAGTTCACATCTATAAATTGTCCCTCGTCTCATCCCCCGGTCAGATATCATATTATACCTACTACGATTGTTTTTTGTCCAGTGGCGTACATATAATTCAATATTATCATATTATTATAATGTTTGACAGAGATAGAAAAGAATAATAATAATAATAATAAACCAAAAAAAAAAACTTTCCCAATTCAATTAACCTGTAAATTATAATACAACAATATTCGTATTGTTATTGTTTATTCGGTGTCGGACGGGGAAAAAAAATACAAACACAAAACAATTTTTCTTCCCGAGCCCGTCCACCCGCACTGCATTATTGCACACCGTTCGATATCGCGGAAAAACCGTGCTTCCCCTGCCTGCCACCCCTCTGCCATTCACGAACATGGTGGTCCCGATACCATTTGCCCGAATGGATTTCCAACCATATCCGATTTTAACTGCGCCCTGGCGGCCAATAAATCTGAATTTAACCGTAGTCCGCGCGCATAAAACATTTGTCGTTGCCGCCGGCTAAACGCGCATTAACAACCCTTCACCTCCGCCACCGAGGCCGTAAGTAAATTGTATACCGCGGTAGCCGCCACCACCACCACCACCACCACCCCCCGACGGCGCCACCACCACCGTCGTCCTATATCGCCGATCCACGTCCCGCAGCAGGTCCTTTCCTATATTATATTATTATATACACGTGTCCTTTTACCTCCGCGGTGGAGAGAAAGGATGACGGTGGCACTAGGACATGAGGTGTCGACCCGTTGGGTATAAAATAATATAACCCGATATGGTTAAGGGTTAACAGATGTCGATCGCTGTGCTCCGCGTGAGTGTGTGTGTGTGTGTGCGTGTGCGTGTCTTATCGATAACCCGGCAGGAGACTAACAACATTATACTATTATTATTATTATTATTATTATTATTATTATTGTAATGTTATAACTTATAACATTATACGTACGATGGAAAGCGAAAATAAATTTAAACCGTAGTTTGTTTAAAGTTTTTTTTTTCAGATGGAAAAAAATACGAGAGAAATGGCAAGTCGATTTTCATTCGCTAATTGCCTCATAACTCAAAACGACAGTATTTTTCCGATACGCATTTTGTAGGACTGGTAATTTTTCAGACAAAATCAGTCCGGTATTGTTATAAAATTATTTTCTTATTTCAGAAAGTCACTCGTAATGTAATTAGTTTTTGACTCTCGTCGGTTTTTCAGGAAATATGTTTCCTTTGTTAACATTTTTTTTCATTACCAATATCGAACAACCTACATGCCTATTGTGGATTCAAGTGTTTAACATTGTAAAGATCGTTATACCTATTAGAAAATCAGTTTAAATTACTGTGTCATAATTACTGAATTTGTATTTTTCAATTTGGACAGTAACAATGTTAATTATAATGCAAAATATTTTAGTATAATAATAATATAATATAGTATCATTATTAATTATATTATTCAAAATATTGACGTTTAATTTTTTCTAGTACTACTTGTACTACTTTGTTATTTAACATTATCATAATAATTTGTACGTTCTTTTTTAAAGATAAAGTGTTGTAAACTTCAATTTAAAAATTCTAAGAAAATACCAAAAAACAATTTGTTGTATTTTGTATTGAACTTGTAAAGAGAAAAATTAATTCAATTATTTATTGAAGCATTTATTAACTGAACCTTACTTACCCTTAAAATGTCATAACCATTACAAGAGTAAAATAAAATAAAAATGATACCAATGTGACAAAAAGTTGGATTATATAGCTATTAATCGTTATATCATCAAATTGTTTTTCTTTATTTGTTAGATTTTTAGATGCAAATAGGATTTTTTAAATTTAAATCATCATTTACCAAATAATTAAAATAGTAAGTAAATATAACTATATTACATAGATATGTAATGCAATAAAGTATAATTAACAATATTCGCCTAACTTTTAATTATATCACAAATTAATTCATGCTAATTAGCAATAATTAAGAACATTTGAAACATACACAAACCATATTGTACTTGTCAATTGAAAATTAAGAACTTTAAAAATAAACTACATACATTATAAAATATTGTAAAAACTAAAATAATAATACGTATAAAAACCAGAATTTTTTATTTATTGTATGCATTATAAATAATAAAAATAGCTCAATACAAAATTTGTAGTAAATATTGATTTCTGTGGTTTTAGCTGAATGTCAATTTCCGGCCTTAATTTTTCCATTACTTTATTTTTTTTACACAAATAATAACCTGTTAGAAAAGTGCATTGCATTTTAGATGGTTTTTGAGGGGTTCGACTGGAATAATTTAAGTGCAAACTGAGAGTACAGCAGCTGGGGACATCCACAGAAATACGTATAATGTGGTTTATGCGGTGTAGTGTTATCGTAATTGAAAAATAAACGAACACTACGACATGCCGCCTTGTGTTGATTTTATTTTAAATTGAACTTTATTCAAAAAATCTATTAATTTTCGATTTGGAAAATTAACATATAAAAAACATTGACAAAATGTATAGTGTGTAGGTAGTGTATAGTCCTATAGTAATATGATTAAAAGAAAATATATTTACGTATAAACTTTTGAAAACATGAAGTACAGAATTAATAAGCCAATTAATAATTAAACTACTGTTTGTTATTATTCCAAATAGAATATCTAAGTATCTAACAATAATAATAATATTAAAATGTTATTAATAAATTATACAAAGAAAATTAATTATGTTTATTATATTATTTGATGGTGATTTAATGGTAGGTATATGAAAATATTGTTCCAGATAACTAGGTATACTTAAATACAAAAATTGAATTTTTATGAAAAAAATCATTTTTGTAAACTGAAATAATAATAAAAACCCATGCATAGGGAATATTTGGTGTTATTTAAGTATTGATTATTTTTTTATGTAATTATAAAATTAAACCATAAGCTCAACAATACCTTACATTTTGAGAGCGCCAAAATTATACAAAGCTATTAAGTAACAATTTTTTTTATTCCTTTATTCAGAATACTTTTAATAATAATCAATTACTTAAGTAAAAGATTAATAATAAGTAACTATCTATATTAAAGCAGTATTTATCCTGTCTTCAGTTGCAAAAGTATTAATAATATATTTCATTTTTAATTATTGTTTTGTTAACCTTTTTAAATATGTTTTAAACATTTCATTATTTTGAACATCGTTTTCCATTTTTTTTTTTTTAGTAGCATTTTACAAATAATTTAAACTATGGTTATTAATACACTGATTTAGGTACATAATATTAATCAAGTTATTTGAAGATGCCAACAAAATATTTGAAGCACTATGTTGCACTCGTCTAGTTGCACCTACGACTGAAACACGCATACAAGTTTAAAATTTCATAATATGATTATAAAGAATTTAAAAATTTGAATTACTCAAAATTATGTTCCTATACTGATACATGACTTATTAAAGCTATAACATAATATAATATAAATAAATAATACTTATAGAGAAATACGGGTTTCAAATGTGTACACTTAGTCCATCAGTTGGCTTGTTTGTTTAATTTTTTTTTTGTAGGAACTGTTTAAGAACTATTTCCATCGGCTATAGCCAAAAATATCTAATTTCTATAGAATTGCATTTTACATTTTAAACTTGGTGAATTATATATGTAAGTTATATTGAAGTTTCTATAAAAATCAGTATAGAATAATACAACGGTATTCTAAAATCAATCAGAACATAGGTTTTGACAATTTTAATTTTCTTAAATAAGTTAAAATAAGTTGGTATAACAACATTGATGTCAAAGTTATACTTTAGTGTCATTATTTATTTTTGACCACATATAACGTGTGATATGTACATAAGCTATAGACAAAAGAGGTTTTTTTATAACTTAATAGTAAATATATTATAATATATTACAGAAACGTTTTCCAGACGATTACATCGATGGCTATAATAGTGCAGTAATCCCATCTCAATAACATGGCAACCTTTATATTTTTAAACAAAGAAACGAAAATAAAACAAATTAAGCACATTATGTAATTCGCTTAAGGGGTTGCTCTTTCTCACTCTTAAACCACCCCCGATTATCCGTATTTACCAGCGGACGTATTTAAATGGCCCCGCATGACCTATTCGGTGAATTAACCGCTTTTACAAACAGTGAGAGACGTCGACGAGAGGGGACAGTGAGTTTGTCGGGCCCGCGGGCATCGTAATTTTGTGGCACGCGAGCAAACAGTATACCCGGAAACAAAAGCAAAAAACTTCCGAAAAAAAAAAAAAATAAATAAATAAATTTACAAAATGAAAAGTCTAAAGATAAAAGGGGGCCTGTATTGAAGGAAATTAAAGACGTCTATACAGGCATTGAGTTTTTTCGACGTATTTTTATATTGAAAAAAAACCCTTTCCCCGCTCAATGCACGTGTTCAAAGAGATAGCGTCCCCGGCCCCGCCGCCGGAACAATAATTCACTGGAGAATCCATAAAGATTAAAAATCATCCCGTCCGTTCCTATTTTAATTGCTGCTGGAGGTTTGGCTTGGAATAAAATTGTTATCTCTGCTATGCAACCCGCCTCATATATTATACACCATTTTCTCTTTTGGTCAATAAACGTCGTTCACGTCGCCGCCCCAATGTTAATAGTATGTTTCGCAGGAATCATGTTTCATTGGCTATTGGAATGGTAGGGTGAAAAACAAAGTTACGATTTAATTATATTGATACTTACGCTTTATTTATTTAATAAAATTGACATAATTTGATTTAATTACTCGACATCGTAAAAAAACAATCGTGGTTTAATAAAAGTCCATTTTTTAAACCATCGTAAATAAAAAAGAATATGAATTATCAAAAAATTAAAATAATTATAATTTATAATTTAGCGCTTGTACCTATAATAATATTATTATTGCCGATTTCATTACTTGTATTGTCTACGTTCCACCCATAATTACACGAGTACACGACTATTTCATTTTTATTGAATTCTAAATAAATGTTTTATTTTGAGCGAAGATTTAAAATATGTATTTTCGAACAATTATATTGAAAGATCAAAAAAATATTAATGATACATTATTAATAGGTAGATTAATTATCTACAAAGTTATTTGAGTGTCAATAATTTTAAATCTTGTATTTTACATTTTATAAAACTATCCGTAACGCTTTAGTAAAAAAAAGATAAGTTTTTTTATTTTGTAGATTATAAAAATATGAATTTATCAGCTATAAATATGTAAGCTTAAATAAACTAAAAAAATACAACATTTAATGCAATAACGAAAAACATGTTTTCGTGCTACCATGTGATAATATTATTATTATTATTATTATTATTATTATTATTATTCTGAAAGTAGTACTCCTATATATTATTACATAAATATATAACTATGTATGAAGGGTAAAAAAATGGTCCACAGCTTATTATTTGTCCAATTTACTTTGTGAAAATATCTAAGCCGAAATGATCCCACTGTGCCGCGAACCCTTCGGTACAGTAAATAAAAGTACATGGTTCTTGATATAATATTCATGTTAAGTCATCATATCAGATTACTATTTTAAACATTTATATTTTAAGCAACGCAACGATAATAATATGGAGTTTTCTCGTTCAAGTTACGAATAACATGAGAAATAGTTACACATCTTATTTCAGCCATAAGGAATGAATGATATTTTTTTAAATTACGTGTTAAAATAACTATATTTATTTACGACTTTGTTTTTACCAAAGGTTCTAAAAATTTGAAAGTTCTTAAAATTCGGCGTCAGTTTTTGATTACAATTATTATCGTTTCGAGTAATTCACAAACATATTGTTCGTAAACCAATTCAAGTTTGTTCACTTTTTGATGTGCGTAAACATCAGCTATAATACGTGCCTCCTCCTGCTCCTATACAATATTTATGGCTGTAGTAATTTAGTGTAAACGGACGAAAACGAGTTTTGGTAACGGAAAATAGTTTCGTAAAATAATTACTATGACAACCGGACAATAAATAAAATATTATAGTTATGTATATGTAGTGTAAAAAAATAAAAATAAACATAAATAATACTTTTTTTTATGAAATAAATATATTATA